ATGATGCTTCTGAGAAATATGTTGCCTCCATCTTCAGGGTAAGATGGAGACGTGACACCGCACACTGCCATAAATGTACACAGAAGTTTCAGAGGAATATGTAGATCTCTACCACAATACAAATCCCAGACGATTAATTCATTTTGCACGTCATGAGTACCTCAAACATCACATAAGAATTACGGTTACGGGTTTTGCAGTTATGCCTCGCGCCTATAAAACTTTCAGCATAACACTACCCTTCACTACGACCCTTTTATTTAGAAGCCACTGCATTTCTTCGTGGCCTTTCAGTACGATGAAAGTGAAGATATGATTTTTGCGGCCAGAAATTTTGGCGGAACTCACCTCATTAAATCTCTTCTCCCTTTCTTCGCGGATTATACCACCTAACCTGTTCCTGTTAACAATTACGTCTAGCAGAACGAACGCGTTATCTGTGAAAGTGTTTAGTATGTGAATTATTTAAACATGTTTATTAAAAAATAGATAAGGCTATCCCTGTAACAAGTCATGGAGGCCCATAGCGTTGTGAGACGTCGAGGCTTCTACATTGTATAGATAATCGACTCACAGATGGCGGTAAGGTTGTCAGCCTTACGCCCGGCTGCCATTTGACCCCTAGGAAGATTGCTGGTACACATTTCTGTTAGAGGCTGAATAGACCCCAGGGCCATATTGCGGCTGGAAGGATTAGGTCAATTGAAAAATCCAATGACCTCATCGGGAATCGAACTTGCGAACTTTCGACTTGTAGCATAGTGCCTCAACCAACTACGCTACAGATATTTATTAGCGTATTTAAAGACGCGGTGTCCACAACAAAGGTCATACAGTCAGGGACCAGCAAATGTTATTGGTCTGTTCTATCTGCATCTTTAGAAGAAAATGTGATAAGGCACTTTTCTGTTTCTTCATACTGCGTTTTATTATCTCCACACGCTTCCATGGGCTAGCCTACTTGCAAGTTTGAGACTTCAGAATGTGTTTTTCTTTCTAATACTGTTGATTTTATAACTTCAGTTTCTCAAGAATTAGTGTTGACGGGCATGGACCACTCCAGTAATGGCCTACTGCAATTGCTCCACGCCAGTCTACTGACAGTCACGTGACGTACAGCTCCTTGTATTATGTAATATTTACATAAGATATTATTCGCTTTTCATATCTACTACTAGACGTTATGTGTAAATAAAGATTACCAGTACCATCTTCTGCGATAGAACAAAGTGTAGTCCGTTTAAAGTCAACCGACGTTTCGGGGGAACATATCTCTTTTATCTCCAGAATCGAAGGATAAGCCGAAAAAGAGACCAGGGTTGAAGAAGCTGGTCAGAACATCTGTTTGGCACCCAGTACTTTGTTGAGTCTTTATTTTGTCCCTTGATGAGAAAACTGAAGCATTTCTTTTCTTGTAAATTAAGAATAAGGTACATCGAGGGGACAGTAAATTATATTTTCAATATATGCATGTACATATTGCTAGTAATGCTCATTCGCAGTTGCGCTTCTCTTGTCGATGGGCCAAAAGCTGACAAAGCCATCGGCTTGCAGAATATGCGAGCTGGGCGTTTCTCATCTTGTAAATCGAAATAATGTGAAGTCACCTTCATTTCGTGCCTCATATCCCAGCCGTCAAGTGGTACACCTATCGGCGTTCCTACGAACTCTCTGCAACTGACACGAAGCGGACGTTACATTTTTTCTTTCTTTTTTTGGCACTACAGCCCCAGTGGGCCTAGGCCTACCTCCATGAAATTCTCCGTTCACTTCGGTTTTTCTAGATCTTACACATTCGGTAAGACTCGTTGGGCGGGTGATTAGCTCGTTGCAAGGCCTCTACCTGTACACAAACGCACAAAAACGCACAAAAACGCACACATACAAACTAAACATTCATGCCTTGAGTGGGATTCGAACCCACGATCTCGGTTTCCGAGCGAGCGAAGACAGTGCATGCCTTAGACCGCTCGGCTACCGTGACCGGCGGACGTTAGATTACTTGCATTTAAATGTATTAATCATGTCTCATCACTACCGAGATTAAGAAACTTCGGTAATCTTTGTATTCGGGTGACCACCGTTCTTGATTATTCAATGCATCAGTTCGGAATTTCAGATTTTGGTCTTCTGAGCAAATTGGGCCCTCAGTCGGTATAACGACTGGCTACAGGCCGAATGGTCAGGGCTCGAATCCCTTAAGAACTAAGATGTTTTTTCTCCATTCAACACTGTCCCGAAAGACCATAAGGCCAATTCAGGCTACTAACCATGCGAACCGGGGATATTTCCACGGAGTAAAGCAGCCGGAGCTTCAAGCTGGTCACTCACCTCCATCTAGTACCGAGGTCAAGAATGATGGCGCTAAGCCTCCAGATCTCCACACATCTTCATAGCATACTGCTTGATTAATTAAGCACAGGAACCATTGATTCGGAACATACGTGACTAGTGCCACATCATGAGTCATCCTTTGATTCGAGTAGCAACTAACTGGAATTCTTAAGCTGTCGCGAGGCAAACATATAAAAGTGTACAAACATGGGCGATACCTCAAAAAGACACGCAATGCTAATGCAAATATTTTACTTTCTGCAAATCACACAATATACAGTAAGAACTTTCTAGATAACTGTATTTCCAAGGCAAACCGGAAGCATTAAAATTCTTTTAAAGCGTAGTCGACTTCGTAGAAAAAAATAAGTGAAAACGCAAAAACACACAGCACATCTATGAGATGTGAGGTTCTCACGGCGATAAATAATGAGTGTACCCTGAATATGGAGACCGGTTACAGTACCCGAGCAGTCTAAGGCATGTACTATCTTCGCTCGTTCGGAAACTGGGATCGTGCTTTCGAATCCTACTCAGGGTATGGATATTTTTTGTGTGTATGCGTTCATTCTGTGTTTGTGTTGTACTGTGTTTAGCTAGAGGCCTTGCGACTGACTGATCACCCGTCCAAGGACTCCTACCGTCTGTAAAATGATCCTGAAACAGAGAAATCAGCCCTGAACTCCGAAGTGGAAGAAATGTAGAGGCATCATGTCCTCCGAAACGTTGATACCTACATACCAGACTTCATGAAAACACTTTGCACAAAGCATGTATCTTCACATCAACTGCGATAAGAGCCTCAAATGTGACGCATAATTGCTGTTCTTTGGTTCATGTCCAATTTGAAGTTTCCCCTAAGTCTGTAGGTTATAGCGTCGAAGGCGAAAAAGGAAGTAGGCCTATAGGTCTATGTGAATTTGAAATAATATAAAAGTAGGAGATTATGACATGTTTTAGAGCATTATTCACGTACATATCTGGGGGGACTTAAGAAAATCCTAACTTAATTTCATCTATTTCAAGCTCTTGACCTGAGGATCGCTAATTTATCAAACAGGAACTTTTAATGACTCCCAAAGATGACTTGAGAAAACCATGGAACGACACGGCCGTAAACTAGTTGCAAGAGTATACGGACGTTCAAATGAAACCCGTTCGCAAAGTTTAGACGAAGACGTCAAGGCCGTGGTTATGCAGTGGTCTGTGCGGAGGGGAACCATCGATGTCTTCCTCAGAGCCCGTGAAGACTACTCTAGTGGTCCCTATTTTGCGAGCAGAATATCCCGGAACGAGTTTAATTTCAGCAAAACCTTAAAAGTATGCGTGTATTTTACTGGGACGTTTAAAAATCTGGGCCAAACCATCAGGGAATCTGCACAAAAATTCTGCTGATTCTCTTTAGTTTTTTTTTAATTCGCTTAGTGGGGGGTGGGTCCAACTGGGTCCACTCGGCACGGCGGCCACTGATTGGCCTATTGTAGCCTGACCCGGGTGATTATGATGATGGAGAATTTGGTGGAATGAAGATTGGCAGGGGAAACCGAAGTACTCGGAGAAAACCTGCCCCAGCGCCACTTTGTCCAACACAAATCCCACTTGACCAGACCCGGGATCGAACTTCTCTTTAGTTTTGTTTTTTGTGTTTTATTACAGACAGGCACAAATTTGCACGTCATGATGACATACAGATGAGTAGAGGTGTAAGCTCAAGCTTTCTTAACCTCTGTACCAGATGCAGGCGAGTGGTGGGACCTGTTCCCTAAGAAACAGTTTAGGCACCCAATGGACAGGGGACTGAGTAGACGAACCCACAGCTGGTCTGGACGCAGTGAAGAAGAAAAATATATTTTGCCTCTGCCCGGAACCGAACCCCAATTAACAATCACGGCCCGGCCGCAATATCTCTAGGAAAAAGGTCTCAACACCCACTGCGTGTCACGCTGGGTGAACTCCTAAGAATAATCTCTTGCCCCTACCGGGAACAGAACCTTGACTGCACTAAATGGAGATGAGTGATGAGCTTCAAGCCCCGGCAGATTTATCCCAGGAAAATAAGCCTCGGAACTTAATGAATAGGAGTGCCGCAGAGACAATCTCGATACTGTCATAGGTTAAAGTTGTCCCTGTGAATTAAGCACTATGCCATAAAGACATGTGAGGGGAGTGGAGGTATAGCTCCACCATTATTGACTTCGGCACTGGCCTGCCCGCTTTATCCCAGGGGAAATCGCTCTCGGAACCCATTGGATAGGTGACTGGGTGGGCCGCAGAACCGGTCTGGACGCTGTGGGGAAGAGATGGATTTTGCTGGCTAATATCTTCCGGTGTGTAGTTCAGTCACAATACCGACTAAGCCACCGCGGCTCAAGTATGCGGGGTATGATCTAGTTATTAAACTTTATGGAATCAGACCCACCCCAGAAATGAAGCCCTTGATACAATATTAGTTATATCTGCGATTATGATACAATGTCTTTGATGACGCAGTCATCTGTCTTGGGAATCCCCGAATTTGCAGAACGTCAAAACCAGAAGCTGCTTTCATATAAACCTGTCACGTGTTCCACTTCTGCTCACAAGTGTCTGCATGTGCAATGTTAACAGCGAAGCGGCAATTCTGAACGAAGAAACATACATACTTTGTTGACCGGAGGGGCGGGGAAGTGGGGCGACAGGAGTGGCCTCTGTCTACTGACAAGTAGTACACATATAAGACGGTTTCAGCTGACAGTCAAAGAGTCAGTGAGTTCCAGCAGTGTCAGTGCTTTCATCAACGCAGAGACAGTGTCCAGCAAGAACATGTCGCCAGTGTATATTGTTGTCCTCTTGTCAGTTGTCATGACAACAAGTGCCAGATCATATTATGACGCAATTGTTGGTGAGTACAATTATGACTAATATACTGAAACGTCCGTTATTTACTACACGAAATATATTGTTTTTTGTACTGGTCTTATATATGTAAATGACGTAACGGAAAGGATGAACGGAAGCTCTGAAATTACGCTACTTCAGGTTAGCGTAGCAATTAGTAGCCGAACATTAACGTGCCGTATGAATGTAGGTTAAATTTTAGGTCACGAAGGCGAACTAGCAGTTTTCTGTTCCAGTGTATCGTGCCTATTGTGTGATTATGATAATTTTACTGTGATATGGACGTGTGAAGTGTAGTAGAGCCGGTTTGCGTTTGAATATCCGTGCGTGTTATTGGTGGAGGATGAGGCGTGAAACTGACGACTCACCTCCAACTAGTGCCGAGGTCGAGCAAACATGGGTTTATACATCCACTCCCCCATACGCCTTCATGGCGTAGTGCTTAATTAGTTATGCTAAAGGACAACTTTGCCTTTTTATAAGCCAGTATATGATACCCTCCTGTCTTCGCTCGCTTGGAAGCCGGGATCGTGGGTTCGAATCCTACTCAGGGCATGGATGTTTAGTGTTTGTGTATGTGCGATTTCTGTGTTTGTGTACATGTAGAGGCCTTGCGACGAGCTGATCACCCGCCCAAGGAGCCCTACCTAATGTTTAAGATCTAGTAAACCGAAGTGAAACGGAGTTTCATGGAGGTAGGCCTACGCCCAAATTGGGGCTGTAGCGCCACAGGAAATGAAAAATATGATACCCTCGCACGAAATGTAGTGAGTGTACTGTCTTCTGTATGTGATGCCGTGTAGTCTGATTAGAAACTACCAGACTGTATGGTGTCACAGTATAGAAGATAATCACTGTCGTGAGGACATAAAACCCGACATACAATCTCTTTTTCTTACTGTTCCTTTGTACCAACTTCCCACAAGCATCTTTTTAACGATGAAGAACTCCCTGCTTCGAGTTCTGTTCTCTTCCCCCAGTAGGAAACAAAAAAAAAAATATATAAATAAAACATCCGGTTTGTATAAGCCATTATTCTTAGTACGGCTAAGGAGAAAAGGAGAACCTATTGTTGGTCCTTCTTATTAGTTTATGTTTCTGCCGTCTAGTATTTCACTTAGGGCGGCAGCACCAACTAACTCACAACACTGTGAGGTTACCCACGTCACGTATAATGCAAACATAGTAAATAAGATTTCATTATTATATTTCCCCATCATATGTTTAAGCGTCACAAGGGACTGCACGCAACCACTGGGAACTGCTTAAAATTAACCCCACAAATGCCAAATATCGAAATTTTCGGCTTACACAAAAACTGCTTTAATTGATAACATGTGACATCTGTTATCATTTTATCCGAACTACATTTTCAAGAAACGTTTAGGAAATTCGACAATTCGCATTTCTATTCACGGTTTCTCCAGATGATCCTTAACAATTGTTGAATACTGCCCCTAAGGGGCACTTCTAGTCCTCTGGATATTGTAACCGATTTCATCAATGCGTTGCCAGGCAGCAGCTCTGTAAACACGGTCCAACACGCAACAATAGAGGAAGCTGTGTTTTCTATAGATTCGACGGACGCGCCAATGGACTGGCTGGATAGCGATCGCGTGATATATGTTTACTGTAGGTCCATTTCCGTCCCGCCGCTATATATCGTAAGTAAGAGTGATAGAATTGGCCGCGTCATAGCTCAAGCGGCTAGTCGCTGGCTTCCCACCGTGGCGGCCCGGGTTCGACGCCGGGTCTGGTCAAGTGGGATTGGTGCTGGACAGAGTGGCGCTGGGGCGGGTTTTCTCCGAGTACTTCGGTTTCCCCTGACAATCTTCATTCCACCAAGTTCTCCATCATCATAATTACCCGGGGCAGGATACAATAGGCCAATCAGTGGCCGCCGTGCCGAATGGACCCAGTTGGACTCCACCCCCCACTAAGCGAATTAAGAAGAAAAAGAGTGTTGAATTCGTTCACGGCAGTTACGAGTTACGAGTCAGTCGTAAGATGGAGGAGCGAGTCTAGAAGAATTTTTAATTCCAATGTTCCAGAGTGATTAAAGACGAAATATCATTAAGATTTTATAGTGATTCGAAGTGCTAATTTCTGTGTTGGGATCCGTTGCTAGGAGACGACTAGTGGAAACAGGGAATTCTAGTGCGTGGGCAACAGTGGACTGCAAAGTGTGAAAATCAGTAATGGTGTAATAATGATTTGTAGTTACAGCTAGTGAATATCAGACAAATAGACTCACCGATCCAAACTCGCGTCTATAGTCACCCATACACATGACAATATACAGTATATGCTAAATGAACCTTTTGGTGAAGGTCGACAGCGAAACACCGCCAGTAACCGTTCACTCCTGCCGTCTTACGGTACTCTTGTTAATTTTTTTCCACTTGGCACTTCAGCCCCAGTGGGCCTAGGCCTACCTCCATGAACTTCTCCGTTTACTTCGGGTTTTCTAGATCTTACACATTCAGTAGGACTCCTTGGGCGGGTGATCAGCTCGTCGTAAGGCCTCTATCTGTACACAAACACAGAAAAACGCAGACACACAAACTAAACAGCCATGCCCTGAGTGGGATCCGAACCCACGATCCCGGCTTTCGAGCGAGCGAAGACAGTTCATGCCTTAGACCGCTCGGCTACCGTGACCGGAACGCTTGTTAATTATTATCACTAATTCATATTCCTACAAAACACCCAAATAGTCGGCCAATAACCTTACTTAATTGTGTACATGCATAACTTCTACAGTTAAAACACGACGGCAATTAACCGAAGAATAAATAAAGATAAAGGTAAAAAAAGGTAAAGCTATCGCTGTAACAGGCCGTGGAGGCCCATAGGATTGTGAGACGTCGAGGCTCCCACATTTTCTAGACAATCGGCTCACAGATGGTGAGGAAGTTACCCTTACGCCCGGCTGCCCTTTGACCCCCAGAAAGATTCCTGGTACTTATTTCTGTTAGAGGCTTTTTCGACCCCAATGCCGGAAGGATTAGGTCAAATGAAAAAAATCCAATAACCTCATCGAGAATGGAGCCCGCGACCTTCCGGCTTGTAGCACAGTTCCTCGCCCAACTACGTTACGGAATGTCCCCTTCTGAAAGAAGAAATGAAAGAGAGAGCAGTTGATAGAAAACGAAGGTGAGTAATTTCCTCCAACGCAGATATGGTTGTACCGCCGAGTCCCGAGTAAGTGATATAAGCAGACTCTGTCTAATATATCTCTGACGTTACGTCATATCCAGAGCAGACAACACTACGGAAGAAAATTCGCTGTGTTTTCAGCGAGGTTTTTGTTACAGTAATTCTGGTTCTTATGGTATGTTGGAAATATGATCAAGTAACTTTCCAATAACGGCAGACGACCTGCACCTTTATGAATAATAACCTGCCTTCAAAGGTGTTTTATACTTGCTCATGGAGCTGAGCCCTTCTTGAGGAGCCACCAATTGAGTAGCTACTTAAGAATTTTCCTGCATTTTATGAAACCCGAAGGTTCATTCCCGTGTCCACAAGAGCCCTCCACTGGTCCCTATCCTGAGGCAGACCAATCCAATCCATACCATTCCATCCTACCTCTCTAAGGTCTATTTTAATATTGTCCACCCACATACGCCTTGGAGTTCCCAGTGGTCTCTCCTTCTGGCTTTCTCACTAATATCCTACATTCATTCCTCTTCTCTCCCATTCGTGCTACATGCATTGCCCACCTCATCCTCCGTGACTTGATCATTCTAATTATACCTGGAGAAGAGTACAAGTTATGAAGGTCCTCATTATGCAGTTTTGTCCAACCTCCTGTCACTTCATCCCTCTTCGGTCCAAATATTCTCAACACCCTCAATGGGTGTTTTATACGTAGGCTTATTTTCATCTTATAGCAGCAATTTCATCTGTCTGCACTGCACAAAGTAGTTCTCCAACTTGATCATTGTAGCCTCAGATGTATTTTTTATTGCTAGTTGTGTGGGACTAAGTCTCTTGTATTGCGGACACTTCTGGCCTCTTGTACCAGCCCCAGATGATAGGTGAGGGTGATTGTGGAGCAATTGGTGGAATGAAGATTGGAACCGAAATACTCGGAGAAAACCTGCCCCAGCGCCACTTTGTCCACCATAAATCCCACTTCACCAGACCCAGGATCGAACCCGGGCACCTGCGGTGGGAAGCCAGCGACTAACCTCTTGAGCTATGGCGCGGCCTAGCCTCATATGTAAAACCTGGCGTGGAACTCTGGCAATCACACGGTTGCCACCAAACTACGCGTGTTTGCAGTATATGTGAAGATGTGCTGGTTCTCACGTCGGCATAGTTACCGCTGCAGTGTGCGCCGTAAACTTGAGATTAGCAAGATATTTACCGCTTTCTCCATGTACATGCAAGAACGATACAAAATGTATACCACTGCTGCAGTTCGTCCTACTCAAACTGCAGAAGGGGGGGGGGTGAAGGGGGGAGGGACGAAGAGGCAGCGAGCGCCGCACTCTGCTTCAGAACATCCGCTCTTCTCGCTAAGGTCGAAATACGTCTGAGGGTAAGAGCAAAATTTTCTATGCGCGTAATGAATTATGTACCATGCCAAAAAAACGTATGGGGGAAGTGGAGGTACAGTTCCGCGAATCTTGACCTCAGCACTAGAAGAAGTTCGATTAGTCAGCTTCATCCTTTGCCTCCAGGTAAAGAGCCTGCGGTAGCCACTGGACACGAAGTTGGGAGGATCTGGACGCTGTGGAGCAGAATCTGCTGCCTCCGTTGGGAATCGAACTCAGATCCATTGGACATCAAGTTACTAGCCTAGTCACTATTCCGCCTCAACGATCCCGGCTCCGAAACACACATAAAAACTAAAAAAACTCCGTAGCTTTAGTCCGCAAGCGAACTATATCGACCGAGCGACCGCCGCTTGTCGGCGAAGTTAGTGCCAACTTTAGTGGATAGAGGGTGTCGCGTGGTCAGTGCAACAGAACCCCACGGCCGTTAATTTAGGTTTTCTACACAGGAGCCGCTACTTTTCCATTCAAGTAGCTCTTCAATTATCGTCACGAGGCTGAGTGGACCCCGTTCCAGACCCACTACTTCTCAGAAAATCTGATAGCGTTGGAAATCGAACCCGGGACCTCTGGAACTCTGATCACTATACCACAAACAATTATAAGGTCACATGCAAGGAGATTTAACTTGACGATTTGTATTTGGGGAGGGGGATGTGACGCCATTTACTGCTGTAGAAGATAATCGATGTTTCGAAGGAAAGCACTGTCTCCATCTTCAGGAATGCAGAATAAGCCCCGAAAGAAACAAAGCAGATACATGGAAGAAATGAACAAGAACATGTAGTGGAAGGAAGCACATAAGAAAAGGAAACAGTAGATGGAGAGGAACAAATAAATTCCGCAACGGAAAAGGAAGAGAAATGAAAGAAGGTTAACAGAAACAAGAAGGGGGGAGAGGCTGAGAATAAGGCGAATGAGATGGAAGAGACGAGGAAGGATAAAATAAGACAAGTTTTTGTTGTGTGCATTCCTATTGTTCCGAGCCCTAGAATGGACTTGGGCCCAAAAGGTCCAAATTTGGGGCCCCATGTCTTACCCGTCACGTGACTAACTACAAAGTAAGGATGTTGCTCTTGCGTGGCTGTACTTTGTTGTTTATTTAACGACGCTATCAGAAACCAGACTGTATAACGTTGGATATTAGGATGATTGTTATGTCAGAAAAAAAGCTAATGGTCTAATCGAGACACTAGCCCGGCTTTTGTCCTGAGAGACTGAGGAAAACCATGAAATGCCTTATTTATGGTGGCCGATATTCTAACCGAGCACCCGTCAGATAGAAATCAAGATGGCTACCTCCAGACCAACCTGTTGCTCCTGTTATTGTCTGCCTGTAACATCTCTGAGAGTGCCTCTTATCTTGAGTAGGCAACATTACGGAAGAAAATTTCCCGTCTGTTCAATGGGATCTCCGGTGTGGTAATTCTGGCTCCCGCAGTACGCAGAAAATAGAATCTAGAAATTTCTGATCACGGTATGACGATCTGTGTCGTTATCGGATGATACTGTTACGTGTATGTAGTGACTATAGACGGGGTTTTGAACTGGATATTGGATTCACTGAACACTTTAACACACAACTCGTAATTCCAGCTAATTAGAGCGCCATCGTTAATTTGCACACAATAAACAACTAGCGCATACGCTAAGTGTCTTCCAAAATGCAGTGTCTTTACTAGACGTTTCCTGGTAACAGCTTCTAATAATGACTATTTCTTTACTTACATGCTCGTTTCCTCTCTGAATGGCGGCTCCCGTCCATCTGAACTATTCTTGTCAAAGTCAAAGTCACATTACGACTGTCGGTCAGTCAGCCAGTAAGTCTTGGTGTCGAGCCCCATCTGGGGCTCATAACCAGATATTTATTACTGTTTGACAGTTACGGTCTTGTTTCTTGTGGGGCGCCCTCTCTGACGAGAGGTCGGGTCTGTCTTTTTATATGCTGCAGATTCGAGACTTCCCTTTTCGTCGGTGGAGGTATTCGACCCCGCCTCCATACGGAGGCCGGATCTACACCCTTATCGATCTATTCTTGCTTCTACTTTCCTGTTTATAAACACCTATGCACGGACTGAGAAGAAAACACCGTTTCGAACAGTACCTTTATTGTTGCATGCGTATCCGTTGCAAAAGGATCGTGTTTACCGAGCCGTTGCCTACAAACGGCTTTGTATTTGCTTATTTCGCGATCGCTTCATAGTAACGGCTCTACACGCTACAATATAATGCGACGATCAATATCTCCAATAGTACGTTCTCCTAGATTGCAACGCCCTGTACTTCGGGATAAGCTTAAACTTTCGGAGGAACATACTACTTCCATGTTCAGGATCGAAGACTAAGACAACCAAGAAAACACCACATCGCCTGCTTCTTGCTGGTTTCTTACTTGAGTTACCATCAGTTATCATCTTCAAGGTTAATGTTTTCAGAAGCCCTTATATTGGTCTCACACTGAGTGATGAGCCGAAGTAAAGCCACCCATCTCCAATCATGGCATAGGCTCCGACTCACCTCCCATTCCAAGATCCATGTAACAGCTTTAATACCGTGAAGATGGTAACTGAGATGTTTACCGAAAAGCCGGGGGAAGCTTGCAACGTCCCACGTGACATATTCCCGAAAGATGAAGCCATGACTTAGATGCTAATGCTTCGCATGAATCTGTTTCGATTTCAATTTAATTAGGCAGTAGTTAATTAGAGTAGCTGATTGAGGCACATGCTACAAGTCTGAAGGTCGCGGGTTCGAGTCCCAAAGAGGTGGAATTTTTTCAATTGACCTAATCCTTCCAGGCACACTATGGCCCTGGGGTCGACTCAACCTCTAACAGAAACGAGTACCAGGAATTAAATAAATAATTTTCCTGCGGAGTAAAGGGCGGCCGGCGCGTAAGGTTAACAACCTCACCACCACCCGTAAGCCGATTATGTAGATAATGTGGGAGCCTCGACGTCTCACAACCCTATGTTAGAGGGATAGCTTTACCTTTTTACTTTACCTGTTTCAGGATCTCATACTAGTGACTATGAAGAGTGTTATGTTATGATAGATGGAGGCAGTATGTTGCTCCGAAACATCGGCGGACATCTACCGGGCATGCCAGAATATAGTTCTCTCCAAGTTCAATTTCTTAACTTTACCTATAGGTTGGACGGTCGATTTTGGCCGGTGGATCTCTGATGCGTAGTGGTCTGACGCAAGTCGGCGAGTCTAAGATTTGTGAGCATGCGCAGAGACACTATGTTGCCTCAGTAAGAAGGTAGAGCCCATAGGATCGCTGTTATTAGTCGAAACTGTGTGCTTTTCCCACGTGCCAGTTGCCAGTGCCAGCCTATGAATGTTCTCTCTGCAGACGAAGCAAGTTCGTAGCATAGACTCGCTCTCATGCGCTGACAGTGTCGGCAGGCTTGTACGTGACTGAGTGTAACACTCAACGAGACGACAGTCACATCTAGTCAACGTGAATCTGAATGAATCTGTTTACAGTGGACGCTGAGGGGAGGTCAGATGAGAAGGGAGCAGTGAGAAGACGGACGGTAAGTCCAGAGGACTGCCACAAACCGCCGTCCAGTGGACCGTGCCGGGCACTCTTCCCGGCATTCTACTTCAACACGCAGTCCGGGAGATGCGAGACCTTTACCTGGAGCGGATGTGGCGGGAACAGCAACAGGTGAGAACCATCATGGCTGCCTGCAAGGGAGGCGGGGCGGAGATAACACAAAATTTACGTTTGCTAATCTCCCCAGAGCAGCGGATTCCAGACTCTACATAATGGCGTCCCCCCCTCAGTTTATCAAAGACTTCATCGCTACCAACCTTTGACAGAATGCCCGATACATCAGGGGGTACAGCGAAGTGCTACGGGCATAACAGACGGGGTTCAGTTCCCAGTAGGTGCAATATTTTTTTCGCCTCTACGGCGTTCAGACCAGCTATCAGACAGTTTCCTATACAATGGCAAGTGTGGGCGATTTCCCTGGGGTAAAGCGGTCTTAGCAGGAAGCTGAGTAATCGTCCTCATCTAGTGGCAACATCAAGAACGGTGGAGCTACACCTCCACTCCCCCATACGTCTTCACGGCACAATACTCAATGAATTAAACGTCTGACATCATTAAATTTTTACTTTACTATTATGCCCTTTGAGATTACGCAAAAACGAGAGTTTTTTTTTCGGATTTTCATTTTTTAAATCAACACAACAGTTAATAATATTTATCAATATTTTACAAGTGCGTGAAGTTAAATATTCCACCTCTGAAAATCTTAGTATTATAATGAGAAATTCAGTTTTACAAAATAATACTTCAGAATATGCAGAACCTCCACTAACCAACTTGTCTCGCCTCCCCATGAGTGGGGGTATCCCAGATTTTATAAACCACTTCCCGGGAGTTCCAAGATAAAAGAATGAGGATATCACCATCAGACATGGAGATTAGCCGCGAACGTATTGACTGAGAAGCGGAGACATCTACCAAGGTGCAATCCTCCAGTTTGGGGGTTGGGCAGGGGGATAACGCCTCACCGCAAAATAAAAATTAGTGTGTTATTTAGTACAGTAACATTTCATGTTTGCCTTACGTAGGTTTGAGACCAGAGCCTCTTGTGAGAAGAACTGCCCTGTTAGGAAGGAGAAACGAAGCGGTGAGCAACTTGCAAAGCGATGCAACCGGGACGTGGTACCGCCGGCTTGTAGCAAGGGTTGCAGACTAACCAAGGATAGCGACAACTGCCCCAAGTGCGACTGCTCCACTCACAGTAAGAACAATGCTGCCAACTTCCGTAAATATACTCCACTAACTACTACCGTTACCAATGTATTCTGGCACTTAAATCGTACGCTTACAATCCTCTACCACTTTCACATTTCTATACTTGAGACACATATGTCTGTCTATCTATCTATCTATCTATCTATCTATCTATCTATCTATCTATCTATCTATCTATCTATCTATCTATCTATCTATCTATCTATCTATCTATCTATCTATCTATTTTCTATTGCTAGGGGAGTGGGACTAAGTCCCTTGTACTGTGGCCACTTCTGGCCTATTGTACCAGCCCCAGATGATAGGTGAGGGTAATTGTGGAGCAATTGGTGGAACGAAGATTGGCAGGGAAACCGAAGTACTCGGAGAAAACCTGCCCCAGCGCCACTTTGTGCACCACAAATCCCACTTGACCAGACCCCGGATTGAACCCGGGCCGCCGCGGTGGGAAGCCAGCGACTAACCGCTTGAGCTATGGCACGGCCTGTCTGCCTGTCTACCTACCTACCTCCCCATCTGTCTGTCTATGTATCTATCTACCTATCTATATATAGCCCTTTGTTGGACCTTGGCCAATTTTTCAGTTTCTTAATCTTTTACACAGTCGGTAGGGCTCTTTGGACGGGGGATCAGCTCGTCGCAAGGTCGCTATCTGCACGCGGGACAGCATAAACACAGAATAAACACACAGACATCATATTTCAAGTGGGATTCGAAACCACGATCCCGGTGTTTCAGTCGGCGAAGACAGTTCATGCCTTAGACGGCGCGGCCACTGCGACCGGCCTTGAGACAGGTGCGCATATTCTAAAGTCCTGCTCCCACTTCAAAAAAAAAAATAATTAACAGAATTTCTAAGGTTGCTCCCTCATTAGAGAGTGACGCAGTTAGTTGCATTATCATTAGACATTTCTGACATTATATTTTCAAAATAAGCTTGGAGCCAGAATCCTCATATGGGAGGTCTCACTCAACTCACGCGACTTCCGTTCCGTTGGGTTGCCTACTCCAGCTGTGACGTACGTTGAAAGATGTTTAACACGGAGTATTCAAAGAACAATCGGGCAAGGATAATCAGTGAAAAGGTTGCTGTTAGTTGCAAGCTTCATACAGTTGCCACTCCCAGTTAAAAGAGTTCACTGGACGACATATCAAAATAGGTATTCTTCAATTAACTGAAAAGTTCTTTTGAAAAGAAAATTATATTTCTAAAAGACGTTAATTACCCATTAACGCGTGACCCAAGTAATTTTAAAAGTCACTGCGATGTTGTCCTCCATGTCAGTGCTGCCAGCGTTAGGCATTAATATGAAACTGTAGGATCCAAATTATAAACTTAGAATCTGTCTCCTACAGCGCGTCCAAAATATTAGAATTTTGGGTTTATTTTTAGTAACAAATATGTAAAATCTCTCTGATGTTAGGCTGCGGGTTTCCTGTTACAAAATTCCTGCGGTTCGTAGGGCTAACGTGAAGGATAACATGGCGGTAAGACTTCAGAGCGCCGGTCACGGTAGCCGAGCGGTCTAAGGCATGAACTGTCTTCTCTCCTTCGGAAACCGGGATCGTGAGTTTGAATCCCACACAAGGCAGGGATGTTTGGTATGTGTTTGTGTTGTCCTGTGTTTATGTAGAGACCTTGCGATGAGCTGATCACTCGTCTATGGAATCCTAATGTCTGTAAAATGATCATGAAACTGAAAATCAGAGGCCTGGGTCCAAAGGGGCTGTAGAGCCAGTGAAGAAAAAAGTTTTAGAGTTGCTTGGATCACTCGTTCATACGTAAGCACTAAGCCTAGAATGAATATTAATGTATATATAACCTAATCTTGTTCACATTTTTAAGTATGAAAAATTATCAGATTACAGTGCAGAAACACATAACCAGGTAGGAATGTAAAATTAAATGAAATGAACTTGACAGGGGCTAAATAAGAATTACAAATTAGTGTGTTAGGAATGGTCCCGAGACCCGGAATTCTGCTGCATAACAATCTCAAGTCTTCATCTTGTCTATAAAGCAAATTATTCTGTTTCAGAGTAAGCATTCTACCATTAAAATGTTCGGAGAGAGTATCAAGAAAGGTCATTTTTATCTTAGAACCAAATAAAGAAGTTTTTAATTTTTTTAGTGTCTAATTTTTTCTTGTTCACGGTCTCATGAGCCGAGTAAATAACTTGCAGTAGTGAGCGGTTCAGGAGTAAACGGAGCGCATGAGAGAAACGCACCCGACAGCTGCAGCAGCGCGGCCAAGCGGGTTATTTGTAACGTGAAGTGATTTGTGACTCTTTGCCATGGTAACTTGAAAGCTCTGGAGTTGACGGCTGGTTCCCAACCCGAGTACATCTCAAACACAGGGGTGCCAACAAGACGCAACAAAATACAATACACTCTTCACGATATAAAGAATCAATTCTTTTGCTGGAACTCGGTAACCACTGATGGAAATCTTGACTAAATATAATTTATAATTTTCATTAATTACCTCGGTTTATCATAAAACATGGATCTATACATCTACTCCCTCACTCGCCTCTATGGCTTAATGCTTAATTAGTTAAGCACAGGGACAACTTTACCTTTTTTTTACCCTTACGTCGATATATCAAATATGCACCCAACTACTTCCACCAATGGCAACACTATCGGTATTTCTATGAAAATTAAATCAAGTTAAGCAGGTCTCGGGATAGCTCAGTCGGTATAGTGACTGGCTACGGGCTGGACGATCGAGGGGTCGGAGTTGGAGGACCGGTAGGGTCAAAAATTTTCTCTTCTCCACGTCGTTCGGACGGGTTATAGGGTCCACACAACCTCCAATCCAATGAGAATTTTGGGTTCTTTCCCTGGAGGTAAATCGGCCGGGGCATGAAGCTGGCCAGTCATCTCCAATTAGTGTCTCAACCAACTACGTACCGCGCGTCCCTTTATGTATTTTGTGAAGAAAAGCACATAGAAACAGATACTTGAAGACGAACTAACCAACGCGTTAGCGCACTGGAAACAATGTGTATGGTTCTGTTTCTGCTGTGTGTGACAGAGAGTGTGTGCAGTCTCCCAGCCGTGAGGGGCCACTGTCGGGCCTTGCTCCCCAGGTGGCGCTATGATCCATCCACAGGAAAGTGCACAGAGTTCAAATTTGGCGGCTGTGACGGCAACGGTAACAATTTCAGGACGGAGCAGCAGTGTATGAAAATTTGTGCTGGTCAGTACAATTTCAATTTTGACATTCTGTATATCCGACTTTCTATTACAAGAGAGACTTCAGCCTGCATTCTCGTAGTGTTTTATTCAAGAGTACCCCAGAAAGAAAGGTCAATATTCTCGGAGGTCACAGTATCGGTCATTCTAAGCAAGAAAGTATATATGTACATGTGTCCTATTCCGAACGGTTTCCGAGATAAGAGCTATTTCACTGTGCAGTTCCAAAACTGTTGATAAGAAAGAGATATTACGTACTGTTTCTAATACCGGTATTTATTGTTCAAATGACAAAGTTGGTACAGTTTACCTTGTGCAATACATTTCGAAAAATTCCACCGCCAACATCAATGCACTCTACAACTCGTGTGAGGACACGGCGTGTTGCTCGTCTGTACCGTGTACAGGGAAACTGCTCTGGAGACCGTTCGGAATAGGACACATGTACATATACTCGCACACTTTTTTGCTTAGAATGACCGATACTGTGACCTCCCAGACTACTGATCTTCCCTTCTGGGACACCCTGTGTAAGCTTTCGTTGTATTAACTTCTGATTTGGCCGCGCCATAGCTCAAGCGGTTAGTCGCTGGCTTCTCACCGCGGCGGTCCGGGTTCGATCCCGGCTCTGGTCAAGTGGGATTTGTGGTGGACAAAGTGGCGCTGGTTCAGGTTTTCTCCGAGTACTTCGGTTTCTCCTGCCAATCTTCATTCCACCAATTGCTCCACAATCACCCTCACCTATCATCTGGGGCTGGTACAATAGGCCAGAAGTGGCCGCAGTACAAGGGACTTAGTCCCACCCCACTAGCAATATAAAAAAAGACACCTGAAGATGGCCATCTAGGGACGAAGCATGTTTTGTTAAAAGTATAAATGGAAGAAAAAGGAAAAAATGTTGCATTATTGACGGACTGTGTTATACAAAGACGTTTTAACTTATATCACTTTACACCTCGCCTTTCTGAAGATTTATTCATGGAATTCGTTCTATTTTCAGGTTCTTAAAGAGCCCATTGGTGCGGTCATTTACGTCACGCCCAGGAAGTCGTGACTGGCGGTTAATCTGCTTCTCAATTCATTGTTCTTAAGGATCAATACAAGCCGTCAGTTTGTAAAGAGACAGTGATATATTGTGTCTCAAACATCTTTGAGGGAGCACCAGTATCGTCTGAAGCTCTTGGTCAAGAGCAAATAAGGACTCTCACAAGCTTACTTAACCTCATGGAGAGTGTACAGAGTGCACAGAGGAAGGCTGTCAAAGATGAAAGACTCTGGAACATGTCAGTCTAAAACATCTCTGAAGGCACGTCACAGTTTAAACAGGCGAACTTACGGCAGAAACGTCCTGCAGGTTCAACGAGATCTGTAGCATTGAGATTTAGGTTCTGATCTCTGTGTTGGGAATAGAATGAATACGTATATCAGTTCCCATTGTATCTTATAAGGCGTCCATATTAATGTTCCCTTACTCTCATTATACCGTGCTTAAAAACATTTCTGAGGTAACGTCATCATCAATGACATACACCATTACGTCGTCACTAGAAAGTTACCAGTTCCTGTTTCTGATACAAAATTGGAACCAAAATCGTCGTACCGGAGATCTCGTACAGTGCAGGGGATTTTTCTTCCGTAAGGTTGCCTACTCGAGTGATGACGTAGCCTCAGAGATGGTGTAGGCAGGCAATACCATAACCATGTGAAACAATTAGCTTTTGTTTACAATCAAATAATCTACTGATATTGTAGAACCCACCGTGATTATAATTTATATAAATTAAACTAGTAAGTCATAAAATAAAGAATCATGTTCTATATACTGATGAAATGTCAGTTGAAAATTCAACGGAAAAATATGATAATTCCCATCCCTAGCCGCGATTTCCACAAATGCCCCTTCCATCCGCTCGCTCCAACACGTTACAGCCCGTCGGGCCACTCTCAGAGCACTGTCTCGCTATGAATCTCAAAGGATCCGGAAAGAGGCCGATTGCATAGGCGATGTTGCTAACTAGAGACAATTTCTTTCAGTCATTATCGGACAGTCTTCTATGCTACAAGTCGGAAGGTCGCGGGTTCAAATACCGATGAGGTCATTGGATTTTTTCAATTGACCTAATCCTTCCGGCCGCACTAGGCTCTGGGGTTTACTCAGCCTCTAATAGAAATGAGTACCAGGTGTAATGCCGTAGAATTTCGGCAAGGGTTTTTGTAACTTTTAGGTATTAAGTTATCTTGGGTTCACAGTAGAGAAGTAGACCAAGGGTTAATGTTTGTAGTAGAATGCAGGAAGTGGCAACGTTAGTAAAAAATTGTCACATTGCATAGACTGCTGATTCACGCGGCAAACGGCTGTACGGCCAAGGCGTACAGAGTGCCGACTCAGCGAGACGGCCTGAGCACATCCAACCCTCTTTACCGAGACGACCAACGAGAGACGGACCTTTGGGGGAGAATTCGTTCTCTTAAGAGGCGGAGCTTACCCCAAAGACACTAGTCAGCAGAGGAAAAGTTATAAAGTTGTTAACACTACTTGAGGAGCTATCTTTCGGAATCCACAACGATGAACCAATAGTCTATCATTGAATCTTTTGATCAATCTATATCAATCAATTTATACACATCAATCTATCTGAGTGTACAAATGTAAGGGAGTAGCCAGCCAGAGCCATGGTCGTGCCAGACCAAGTGAGGGGACACCATCAGCTTCCTGCACCAAGTAAGTCGAACTGTTCATATCAGTCATGGATATACAGTGTGATATTAATAAAGTGTCATGTTACAGGGTTAGGGCAGAGAGCGTAGGCCCTGAGTGGTGACGTAGGAATTACCTCGAGAGCTAGGGATGGTGAACCCAAGTGTAGTTTCCTCTAAATTACAATGTGTACGTAACCGGCCACTGTCGACCATGAAAGTGAGATGTATGTAAGTGTATATATTAGTAGACGAGAGTAGACCAAGTAAGGGGGATGCGTGTGTTAATGACTTACCCCACAGTCGCACCCTCTATTTCCCCGATGTCCCGTACATCTCCCAGGTTAGAAATAGTGTGAACTCACAGCCAAGAGGTAGCTAACGAGACAAGTACCAAGTGTTTAGCCTTGCATCTGGACATTCCCCAAGGACGCAACGGCATGGATGGCGGAAGAGGTGGAGAGATTCCTTCACGCCCCCCTTCACGTCATAACATATGGTGGCAGCGGTGGGATACCTCCACGCCCCCTGTCACCACGGCATAACACCAGGAATTAAATAATTTTCCTGGGGAGAAAAGCGCGGCCGGCGCGTAGGGCTGACAACCTTACCGCTATCTTTGAGCCGATTGTCTAGATAATGTGGGAGCCTCAACGTCTCACAACCCTATGGGCCTTCATGGCCTGTTACAGGGATAGCTTTACTTTTTTTACTTAACATAATCGGACAGTCTACTAATCAGCTGGTCCTATTAACAACTGTGCAGTACGAAAACATGAACATGCGACTTGCTAGACGGTATTTAAGGGTCTTCCCAGAAGGTGAAAGATAAGTGGGAGGGCACCGACAGAGATGACTGAAAGATGCATAGAATGATTTACGAGATCTGAAAGTGAAGTGGTGGATGCGGAAGACAAATAATCGGGATAATGGGCATATAAGGAGGCCAAAGTGTATTATAGTGTCGAAAAGCCAGAAAGTAAGAGGTTGGTGTAGTGTGCTATATGTCAGTGTTGCACTGACAGTAAATCCATTGAAGTGGTTACGTGACTTAGGTTTAAACATGGCCGTAAGTGCTCTAGAACTGTGAAGCAACACTGGGAGGAAGGGCAGTTTGCTGGCGAGCATAAGGGCGGATAAAGTGAACAGCAGTACGAAGTTGGTGAAGAATTCTAGGTCCTTCAATTTTTAAAAAGGTAATGATGGAATACATGATGTCCAAACCACGCGTGACCGGCGTCTGTATCTTTGGCATTAAAAGGAGCTGTAGTTGTGTTTGACGGTGCCTACGACAGGCTATAACTCGGCGAACACGAATCTCACGCAATGACCTGAACAACTAAGTAGGCCCTCGGAAAGCTGACAGTCACTCAGCCGGTCAAGAAATTCCCCATCGTTTGTGAAATCCTAAAGTTCTTAATGTTACCTGTCCACATCATCATAACCTTTCTCAATAATAACAATTTTAGTATTATCCTCTCATCCAGGGTTGGTGAGAGAACACAGTCGTTACAAGCGGCCCACTGGGGTGACGCGATTTTGAGGAAGGGGAACACATTTTACATGCTCATTACTTTCCCATATACTTATGACGTATATAGAGCCACATGAGAATACACTGAGATGGAAAATAAAGAAGTCCTCAATATTCTGAGACCCCCGAATATGAAAAATGATTTTCGGAATGCTGTCTGTCTGTCTGTCTGTCTATAAGGATGTCCCTCTCGCTGATATCTAGACAGACGTAAGTATTATGGTCATTTTAGACGTGATGCCTTGTAGTTTGGTAGACAGGTGCCAAATTACACGACGTCACATCGCTTTACTCTGCTGTGCTGTGCGAGCACTATTTTCTCATGATTATATCTACCAGTAACGGATTTCTGTCTGCATTAAAAAACAGTAATGATCAATATCGAAAAATAAATTGTAGAAGAACTTTCTCGTAACTGTTTGTTATGTCAATCTAAATGTAATTTTATAGAAGAACTAAAAAGGAAGGGTAAACATGTCTCTTATTTTCCAAATTGTCCATCCTTTTTAGCTTCCTCAAACAACGTTTCGCACACTGGATGCGTTTCCGCCTATAATGCAAAGGGAAACAAGTTCCTAATCACTTGAGGCCGTAAAAAGGTAAAGCTATCCCTGTAACAGGCCGTGGAGGCCCATATGATTGTGAGACGTCGAGGCCCCCACACTACACACTCTGCTCACAGATGGCGGTGAGGTGGTGCCGTTAGTAAGAAGTATTATTATTTTTTATTGCTAGTGGGGTGGGACTAAGTCCCTTGTACTGCGGCCACTTCTGGGCTATTGTACTATCCCCAGATGAGAGGTGAGGGTGATTGTGGAGCAACTGGAATGAAGATTGGCAGGAGAAACCGAAGTACTCGGAGAAAACCTGCCCCAGCGCCACTTTGTCCACCACAAATCCCACTTGACCAGACCCGGTATCGAACCCGGGCCGCCGCGGTGGAAAGCCAGTGACTAACCGCTTGAGCTATGGCGCGGCCCTAGTAAGAAGTAAGTCTACATAACTAGGATAGTGATGGTGCATAGTGATTTCCACTATGTCTAGCTCTCTCTAACGGGTTCAAACTTACATACTGTGGCAACAGCAGCCTCGGGAATGCGTCGTCATCAGATAGTGACGCGGGTCGTTACGTCATCATTCTGAAGTTTTTTAATTGCACATTATGAGAACCAAACTTGGACAGGACATGTGTTCCGTAAGGTTGCCTGCTCAACATATGACGTACCCTTGAAGAGTGTTCCTCAAGCCGGGCCCTCGTCTTCTTGAAAAAAAAAAAGAATTTACCGGGCCTCGGTCTGACAAAGGTTGAGAACCCTGCCCTAGAAGATGTTATAGACAATGAATGGGATTTACATCTGATGTCGGATACATTCGTAGTTTCCGAACAGAATGCACAATGTCCGAAATTACAGTCATGTTCATTGCTGTATACAATTCAAGGGAACATTATAGGGTTATGGTTAAATTAAAAAGAAACTAAGTTACTTTATATGTATTGTAGCGTGTAGAGCCATTGCTGTGCGACGGCCGCGACATAGGCGAATATAACAGATCAGTTTCTAGGCAACGGCTCGGTAAGCACGTTCCCGCAGCAATGTATCGACGCGCAACAATAGAGGTGGTCTTGGTAATGGAGTATTTCTGCGTAGTCCGTGCCGAGGAGTTGTAAGGAAGTCAATTGGGACAACCTTGTCAGCTTTGTACAGTAGTCTGTGAAGAGACGACTTCATCGCGTGAAACTGAAGAATCTCCGCTGTTAGAAGCCGTTGCCAGGGAACGACCAGAAAACACTTGGCGGATACTGTGGTGATTTGTGAATTGTGGAGATTAGCGGTGACGCTGTAATTGCTTGTAGTTCCGAGTCGTGTGTGTAAGTTGTCAACAGATCCATTCACCAATCCAAACCCCGTCTATAGTTACCTCTTTACATGTGACAGTTATGTAACTAAACAGAGGGATTAAAACGAGTGGATTCTTAGACCACGATGTTGGAAACAAGCAAGGAAAAGCAGAGAACATTAAACTTGGACATAAAATAAATAAGAAGCGACATGTAGAACGTATGCCGTTGTTCCACAAAACGTTTTACATATGGGTGGTGTTGTGTATATATAAAGCGAAAAACCCTGGAAGCGCTAGTCGCTAAAAGCCCAGGCGGCGAGAAGCGACAAGGAATATCTCCCATGGCGACTTTCCCTTGGAGGTAGATAGGACCTCAACATCAGCCTATCATATATAGCACTTCCCCCGCCCCTCCTTGACCCCTTCAACTTACCACTTAGAAACCGCAGGGCATCTAAGCCAGCCGGTAAAATAATACGAAATGTACAAATGTGTAATACATACGCGCAACTTCAAACATGTGAGATGCGAAACGATGAGTCTATACAGTGGTCACTGGCAGGTTTGCCAACTTACAATGGCGCATGAAATATTATTACGGAAAACTGAATTACCATGGAACTCAGTCACAAAGTGTGGCTATATTTGTTTTCTTGAGCTTTCTACCCTTTGTGACGGAAAAAAGGTGGATTTATGAGATAATATTCTCTGTCTGTAGACTGTCTCTGTTGTAGAGTCAGAGCTCCTGTCTACTAATCCAGAGGTCCCGGGTTCGATCCCCGGCGCTACCAGATTTTCTGAGAAATAGTGGGTCTGGAACGGGGTCCACTCAGCCACGTAAGGATAACGGAGGAGCTGTTTCAAGGAAACAGTGGATCCGGTCTAGAACACCAAGATTAACGGCCGTGTGGATCCGTTGCGCTGACCACGTGACACGTTCTATAAGCAAAAGTTGGCACTAACTTCGCTCGGTCGATATAGTTCGCTTGCGGACTACAGGCCACGGAGATTTTTATTCCCTGTCTGTGTGTTTGTGTGTGTCCCATTTGACAGATTTTTTATGAAACATATATTAATGTTATTACGCCACTAATAAGAACATGGAGGGTGTGCGAAGTTGTCAGATGGGGGACTCTAGGGTTACTATGGGGTCCTGACACGACGCACGGTAATATCCCTTGGACAAACTTGCAATTCTGTTGAGGCAATGCATTTTTGTAAAGTAGGCAATAACGACAAGTAAGTCGAGTGAAGAACTTCTATAGTTGCTAGATTCATGATGATGTGTAACGAACTATTGGCGCTAGGCATGTGATATTTTGTACAGAGACAAGGCATAGACATAAGTATACAATGCTTAAGACATTTTACTTGTAAGTTAACGGAACACGCATACCACAAGAGGAATCCATCAAATACCTAGGCCTTCACCTGGACCGGCGGTTGACCTGGCTCACACATATTCTCGCTAAAAGAAAACAACTGGACATCAAATTTAGTCAGATGCATTGGCTACTTGGCAGAAAGTCAGAACTGTCTACCGAAAATAAACTCCTAGTTTACAAGACAATATTGAAGCCTATTTGGACTTACGGCGCACCATTATGGGGAACTGCAAGTACATCCAATATAGAAATGTTACAGAGGTTTAAAAACAAAGCACTTCGCGCTATAGGCAATGCACCGCGGTACGTCCCAAACAGACTACTACATGCCGATCTAGGCATATCCACAGTACGGGAAGAAACCACAAACATCAGCCGCAAATACAAACACAAGATAACAGCACATCCAAATGAACTGGCAACCACACTACTAAACGATGCAGACGAGCCCAGAAGACCGAAAAGGCATAAACCAAACGACCTAACGACGCGCTTCATATAAATGCAATACACAAAATAACAAAGTCACATCCGAAATAGATCCGTAGAGAATGCTCACTGGAGCATTACTCTCCCCGATATGCTCTCTCCTAGTATTTAAGCTTAAGATTAAGTCTCACCTAGGATGTACTTACAGCCCATAATGGGACTGAGTGTACAAATATATGAAGATAGAAAAAAAACTTGTAAGTCAAGAGTTCAAGAGTTACAAAGACGGATAAGACAAAGTAATTAGGCTGTGAAAATAAGACTTCAAGGTGAATTTGAACTGACAGTGAGACTGATAAAAATTCATTACCAGGATACGGCTAGTGAAGACTGAGACCCATAGTGCGTGTTTAACGGTGAACTGTAAAATGTGGGAATAGCGACAGCTTGTAGCTCCGAGTGGTATGTATAAGTTTTCAATAAATCCAATCATCCAATCCAAAACCCGTCTATAAGTAATGCCCCACCCCCAAATCGTGATATGTCTCATATACCGTTCTTACCCCAGATGACTTGCCTAGCTGTAATGTATTTTACAGCCAGATCAGATCATGTTTAACATATAAATATTTGTGAGCTGTGCTCTGAAATGTAAGAAATGACGTTAGCAAGTGAATACAGAAATCAATTCACTAAAAGCAACACATATATATGTATTAATATATATATGAAGTGCTCTGACAATGCAAATTTAAATGTGCTCGAACGAAATGTGATGACGGCAGCCGGAAAATATGGAGACGGTCTTACAAAGACCGCTCGCTCGGTCCCAATTTTTGCTGTACACGCTGTTTATTCGCACCACATACAAGTTACTTAGCCTACAACTGCAACATACATGTCTCAGATATGTACACAGTTCTATACTTAGCTCGGGTATACAAGCAGCTGCGCGACTGCCAGACAAGTGAGACAGAGAGATCNTAACCCGTTAGTGTACCGACTGAGCTAGGTATCGAGTTGGGTCGGGTAAATTGCTGTTGGTCCTCGTCAACAGTCATTATTCGGTTTTCGGACTTTATCCATCGTCTTGGTTTTAAGATAACTAAGAAAAACACGACGTTTCGGAAACTGGAGGTGTTTCCGTCCTCAGGTGAGGGAAAACACCTATTCTATTGGGTCCCTTAGAAAGAGCTAGCCTCAATCACTGGGTCCAGTGAGGACGGAAACAGATCCAGTTTCCGAAACGTCGTGTTTTTCTTAGTTATCTTAAAACCAAGACGATGGATAAAGTCCGAAAACCGAATAATGACTGTTGACGAGGACCAACAGCAATTTACCCGACCCAACTCGATACCTAGCTCAGTCGGTACACTAACGGGTTATAGCCTAGACTGCCGAGGAATCGGGATTCGATTCCCGACAAAGGCAAATATTTCTCTGTTCACAGGTCCCAAACCGGTTCTAATGCCCACCCAAAGGGTAAAAGATAAAGTTGTCCCTGTGCTTAATTAATTAAGCACTACGCCATGAAGACGTATGGGGGAGTGAATGTATAGATCCACATTTTCTTGACCTCGGAATTTGTTGGTGGTTAGGGGTCAACTTCACGCCCCTGCCGCTTTATCCCCGGGGAAAGAGCCCCCGGTACCCATTGGATAGGAGGCTGGGTGGACCCCAAAGCCAGTATGGAAGATTTCGAGAATAGAAAATTCTTGACCCTTCCGTGACTCGAACTCCGACCCCTCGGTCGTCGAGCCCGTAGTCAGTCTAGACTTGTATTCGGGAGGTACTCTGCTCGAACCTCGAACGAAACACCAGATATCGTGTGTGTAGTACTTCGCGGTTTTCTCAGTCTCTTCGAGCGAATCCTGCAATATTTTCGGCACCTCGGTGGCTTCCTACCAAGTTCTTTCCAATTCACTGTCCACCGATCATCCTACCATTCGATGCTATATAGTCCAGAATTGTTAGCGTCGTAAAGTAAATAACAAACGCAGCTTTAACTTTTACATGAACATCGAATTACATACAACGTAGAAACGGCAGTTACCTACGGGGATGCAGTTTGATGATCCATGCGACATCTATCCGGCAAATGTGAAATCATTTGGTGACCAAGTCGATTCTGCCATCTATGGACAACTCGATTGAATTAAATGAAATGCATGTAAGAGATATGTAATGTCGAGAAAACGACGTGTGCCCCAACCCCCACCAAAACTGATACCAATGTGTGGCCAGACAACACAGCTTGTGAAGCGAATAGTCATGGATTCAGCGTCCAGCATTCGCCATTGCAGAGGCCTCTTGGGTTATCCAACTTCCTCTTAAATTATTATTGAAGTAAAACCCCTAATTTTCTCACCCTTAGTGACTAGATTACTGGACGAGCAGAGTTGTAAAAAATTTCACTATAAACAAACATTCTTAATTGTATGCATCCTTTTATGTGTCATATATAGGATATATAGTGTGTATATTGGGGGCAGTCTGCACAAGAATATTGCTGAAAAACAAAACAGACTCTGTTGTATTAACATTCCTTCTATTTTGCTGTTGCTTTTCAGGAATATTCTTGTGTAGACTGCCCACATTATACCTATTATATATTCTATGTAAACAAATATGTTATATTCCACTGAATAATATATGGCTACTATTTTACAATGTCCAAAATTTATAGGTGTGGGGGTTTGTCTTACATTTATGGCCTCCCAAATTCAGAATTTACTTATTAATGGTTAACTTGAACACTTTTAGAATTAGAGGATTTAAATTTCTCACGGTGATGATTATATCCAAGAAGACAGAATTCTTCATTAAATTTCTGTGGTTATGATAAGTTATAAAATATACTAGTGCACATAACCACCATCAAGTTGAAACAAAAAAATGGAAATTTTAATGTAGGTATGCTACGAAGAATTCAAAGGAACTTGTTATTTTCTCTATAAAACAAAGTAAACATAAAATAAAGTATCCTTCCTCTGGCTAGCACAATCTTCTCAGTTACAAGACCAAGTAGTTCAGAGAAAGCCCATCATTTTGAAGGAACATATTGCTTCCTTCTTCATGGTTGAATTGTAAGCCAAGCAAGTAACCAGCACAAGCAAGTGGAAGACCCTGCTAAGATTGTCACTTGCATGTCTCCTCCTGTTGATTTCTTGGTTGGCTTACTCTTCACAGCCTTTCCAAGGCAGCAGCGATCATGGTGGTGTCCAAACATGCTGACTCTTTGAGCCTAATTACAGCTGACAAATACATCTTACCTGAGATATTCACTGTCTGTAGTCATACCAATTTTCAGTCCAAGAGAATCCTGCTTCATGCATGGAGTACAACACATCTGGAAAGATGGCACACTTCAGTAACATCAAAACTGTGCTGCATTACAAAGGCACTGCTCACATACCAGAATACTGCATCTGTATCCACTATGATTACATCAGTGTTCCCTGCCATGAGATTTCAAAATGACTGATAATTTTCCAAGTTACAAAATTTACAGTATGGGTGTGAAACTTGGTCTCTGACATTAAGGAAGGAACATAGACTGAGGGTGTTTGAGAACAGGGTGTTGAGGAGAATATTTTGACTGAAGAGAGATGAAGTGACAGGAGGCTGGAGAAAACTGCATAATGAGGAGCATCATAACTTGTACTCTTTTATTGTTCCTTGCATCCTGTTGTGTACTAGACGAATGTTAAAGTTAATCTACCGACCACACAACACGTTTTTTATTTACTGCCACACTACATGTTTCGACCTCAGGAGGTCATCATCAGGTGTACGAACACAATTTCACAATCACACGCAATCACTTCCTTTCTCCACTAATTTCCATCCTGTATCCTGTTCAGATTCACGCTCAAATAATATGTATAAGTTCTTCTTATACCATATAAGTTAAAAATATATAAGTTAAAAAGCTCTTCTTATAAAATACAAGTTAAAAATACCAATGTCAAAAATTAAGATTTAAAATTCAAAATTCAGTTCCCTGTAGCCAGTTACGTTATTATCACTTGTTTAGAAAGTTCGTGAAAAATAAACTTCACTCGTCACATTGACTGCCCTTTCACTTTTTGAAGGTCTTGTCGTTCTTCGGCGTCCTCTGATGTGGGATCTGTTACGTTCCTTGTCGTTCCTTGTACTCTTCTTCAAGTGTAATTAGAATGATCAAGTCAAGGACGAAGAGGTCGGCAGGTGGGGGAGCACGAATGGGGGAGAAGAGGAATGCATATAGGATATTGGTGGGAAAGCCAGAAGGAGAGAGACCACTGGGAAGACCAAGACGTAGGTGGGTGGACAATACTAAAATGGATCTGAGAGAGATAGGATGGGATGGTATGGATTGGATTGATCTGGCTCAGGATAGGGACAGATGGAAGGCTCTTGTGAACATGATAATGACCCTTTGGGTTCCGCAAAATGCTGGAAGTTCTTGAGTAGCTACTCAATTGCTGGCTCCTCAAGAAGGGCTCAGCTCCATGAGTGAGTTCCTCTCATCTCAACCAAAATAGAATTGCATAAAAATTTATTATTATATGATTGTCCCATACCTGACTCCTACTCTCTAGAATAATTTATTTTCATTGACAATATAACAAATGCATTTAAAACATTTCTTATTCTTCTGCCTTGATGGGTTAGGTTCTCTAGTCTATTCCCACTTACTGCTAATTCTGAAATTGTGAATTTTGTAGACAGTTGGTAGGACTGCTAGGAAGGGGCATGAGCCAGATGCAAGGCTGCGGCCTACACAGGACAACATAAACAGAGAACAAATGTAGAGACACAGACATGCCTCAGTTGGGTAACAAGCAAATATATTTCTTTAACATAATTATTTGATTCTGTATTACATAATATGTCTATAAGTTGTCTGTAAATGGTTATAACAATGTATTTAGATATTTACACCTTAATTATATTTGTCTTTTGAATACATGTCTAAGCTGATCTTATAAAGGATATATGAATGTAAAAAAGGTTAATTCAAAGTCAATAAGAGAATAATGTTAATTTTTGTGTTTTACTTAAATGAAGTGGGGCACATGGTACCATAGTTAGTTGAGGCACTATACTAAAAGCTGGAAGATCGTGGGTTCCATTCCCAATGAGGTCACTGGAGTTTTCAACTGACCTAATCCTTCCAGCCGCACTATGGCCCTAGGATCGACCCAGCCTCTAACAGAAATGAGTACCAAGAATCTTCATGGGGGTAAAGGTGCAGCCAGGGTGTAAGGCTGACAACCTCACCACCATTTTGAGCTGACTGTCTAGAAAATATGGGAGCCTCGACATCTCACAACCATATGGGCCTCCACGGCCTGTTACAGGGATAACTTTACTTTTTTATTTTATGCTTCTTGCATCTGATAATCTAGCAGTGGAGGTATGAATTTCGGGATTCGAGGATGATGATGATTATGATGTTGACTGAAGTGGTAAACAATGTCTGACAACAAGGGAGGGGGCAAACCTGACAAGTGCCTCCTTCTGCAGGATTTTTTGGAAAAAAATAACATTGAAGAAAGATAGAAATATACCAAATACTTGTATTAATACTACGATTTAAACAAATTTTTAAAAATAACGCTTTCATCCACAGTACCCAAGAGCAGTTATATAAAAAGTATGAAACGGCTTAATGTAAATTTGAACGCAAATTTTCTTCCACTCCCCCTTCCATAAAATAGAATTCTGGAGCTGCCCATGCCAGATGCCCATTGATGAAGATAGAGATATACTGAGCACTTCTAGGATACCCGTTTTTGAAGGCCAAATTTATTCTTCTTATCCTGTTAGATATTATTATTATTATTATTATTATCATCATCATCATCATCATTATTGCTATTCATAGTGGTGTGAGACTGAGCCCACTTCGTACTGCGGCCACTATTGGCCTATTGTACATGAGCCCCAGATGATGGATGACTGTGATTGTGGAGCAATTGGTGGAATGAAGATTGTCAGGGGAAACCGAAGTACTCGGAGAAAACCTGCTCCAGTGCCACTTTGTCCACCACAAATCCGACCCGTGCTCGAACCCGGGCCCCCGCAGTAGGAAGCGAGGGACTGACCGCCTAAGCTATGACACGGCATTTGTTAAATACTTACTACACAAACAAACTGTTTAAAAACGTATTATTTAATTTAACCCGAAATCTTACGTCTTGGGCATGGGATGAATTCACTTCGTCCAAGATACTTCACAGACAACCAAAACTGTGTGACAGTAACAAAAGTCTGGTGTTGGCCCCCAGATGGGGCTTGTGACCAAGATATACTGACAGGACTGTCAGTCGGTTGTAACATAACTTTCAATTTTACTTTGGCCTACAACACTTACCATATCAACTCGTGATAATGAAGACCGATATAGTCTCTGAAACGCCGGCCACTAACTCCCAAAGATCATTGAGATACGTAACTGCTAACTCCACAGTAATATGCCTAATCTTTGCACTTTCGTGTATATTAAATTAAAAAGTAAAACTTTGAGGTTATGTCCAGTAATTGTCATACACATACCACTCTGTTGCATAATTATTAATCTCAAATTACTAATCACAGTTATTAATATTCTGCACTTGGTAGTATTTTACTTTGTCCCTTGCTCGGGCTTTGTAGTACGCGGGAAGCAAGGAGTAGTAAGGTAGCAACTTCCGTCGTCGTTTGTATATAAAGGTGGCGCGAAATTTGAATTGAATCGAAGATGGATGTTATGCGCTCTGAAATTTCAGCGCTCTTTGTATGGGCGAAGGTTTGGTTCGGTCAGTTTAGTTTTAATCTTGCTAGGGTAATATTTCAGAATGATACAGCAGAATTCACCCACAGTGTCTCCCAAAATTGCATGGTTCTAGTGTTATAATATAAGAAAATTCAATACTTAATATCCTTCACATTTTCAAGAAATGTTATTAATTTGCTCTTACTTTAACTTGACATTCCTTCTCTAATACGCACGTGACAATGTATCCTGCAAACAATTCTCTTCTGTCAGTGACCTCCAGCTGGAGAACTTTCTAACTGCTGTCTCCCTTCTTTCCAAATTCGCTCTCAGCGTCAGTTGCAACTCTCAGATAAGATTTTCACTTGCTAATCGAAGCCTCCCACAGGCTGGACTTCCAATACATGTAGTCCGGCCTCGTCACAGAATAAGAATATCATAAGGGCACTGAAAGGTATCCTTTTCAAACAGGCCCCTTTAATCCGTTAAGGCAGTTGTATAAAAGAGTGCTCGTTACATATGGACAGAATTTTTTGTTCATCCCCATTGTTACTAATCCGAGAGTCGCGTTTCATACATCTAAAACATTCGAAATTTAATACTAAATTACATATACACATTGCCCAGGGTATTCATGCTTCATGTCCTTTCCATCTGAGGTTTCTTAGTTGAATGTCCTAACACTGTTAGGTAAATAATAAAGGTTGTGCTTTGCCCCACTATGTAATTTTCTCCTAGAAAAAAATTATATAGAACCTCCTCACTTTGTACATATCTCATCCTCAATCTATGTCCTCCCCCTTACAGCCAGTTATGTTATTAATTTTCTGAACTAGTATGAATAAAAATGTTAACTGTAGTATTAGCCCAGGTGAACAAAATCACAAAGACCTTAGTAAAATTATTAAGTCCCCAGCCAAGATACGAAATGGGATCTGCTCTAGAACAAACCTGCACACATGTATGCATATGTATGTAAGGACTGCAGCATGACACTGAAATAAACAAATTCTGTCATTGACACTTTTTATTTTACAGACATCAAAGTTCACAAATATCAGCTGATATTATGACATACAAACAAACTCTCTCTTCTGCAACAGCTGTTAGATGTTATTGCTCCATTTACCAACAAACTCATCCATCTGTGAAACTTGGAAATGCAGTTGACGTAGATACATAATTTTCCTTAACACCAAGCAGTTGTGCATGTCATGAGGTGAATAGTTTCTAGAATTTTGCTTGGAGAAATGAGATAAATAATTGCTAATATTCAGATGTAAAAAAACATGCATAACTGCACTTCGTCTGAACAGATCTTCACATTATTCAGTATCAACAATTTCCACCCTACAACCGACTGAATGAAATTCAGTTTTGGTCTACGTTTTACACTCTGGACTTCACACTAAACTCAGAATACAAGTTTTTGCTTATATATTTTAATGACATTTATTACTGGACTTTTAGTAATAGTTATGTATTGGTGAGGCTTATTAGCAAAATTAAAAACTATGTTTTTGAACAGAATAGGAAAATCGAAGGTTATAATCTTACTAAAGGTGAAAATTGATTTATTTAATAATATTTCAAGTAATATTCATTAGATCAAAAATGTGTGTATTTTTTTGCAAAAATTAAAGAAACTCATTAATGAATACTTTATGGTGTAGAAATTTCTGCGAGAAAATGCCTCTGTAAAAAATGGATATACTCAGATTTTCTGGAGTCCTGTAAAATCAAATACATCTCATTTCTCGCATATTTACACCTTTCTGGTTTTACATACTGCACAATTTATAATATGTATATTATAAATAAATATGATTTACAAACACAAAATATGACTGACAAATACTGTATATTTTAGACTTTTCTGGCCATCTTCTAGTGGAAAACATAATTTATGCTTGGAGTTGGCTTTAAACATGTTAATGAATTAAGATGAATTAATCTAATTAAATTGTACATTTATATATATTATATATTATCATTTTAGTAAATATTTTCAATCTAGGAACAAACCAAAATGACCAAATAGGTAGTTATAACAAAATGAATATTTTAACATTTTAACAAAGTGAATATTTTGTTATCATGGTCATCAACTGTTACTGTAATCATATATTGTGATATCTGTTGCATGGTGAAAATTCAAATTTTCAGGCTTACAGAATAATGTGACACATTTCCAAGCTATTTGATAGGTCCCTTATTACAGAAACATCTATAAAGATATACCAACTTGAGAGTCCAATCCAACCAAATATCTTGATTGATTTGGTAACACTTCTCTGCATTCGGGAGGTCCCAGGTTAAAATTCTGGCCAACCTAACTAAAGCTTTTCATTGTTTTTATCAGTTCCTCCATACAATTGCTAAGATGATACTTACAGTACTTATGGCCACTTCTTTCCTTATCTTTTCAATTCATTTTTCACTAATTATCTCAAAGACACAGAATCTGTTGCACTGTGTCATAACATTTCCTTAGAGCAGCCAGTACATGGTAATGAGGGCAGTCTGTTTCATGTCACTCAACCCACAAACCACTTAGCCTGTAATAGTCTTATATACACGGTAATAACACTTGGAGACCAGCTGGAGAAAAAAACGTCCTCCAAGCTTTTCTTCAAGTAACAACACCCAAGAGTCAAATTCTTCTGAGACACAACACTGACACTCCCCAAGGTTCAAATGTTCACAACACATAACACAAAACCAAAAAACACATTCATGCCATAACATACAGGGCTTGAAAGAAGTTGTAACAAACCATGGTGCATTTGACAAGTCAAATCCAGTATAATGTTGTAAATGCATGTAGGGCAGACAGTTTAGTAGAGTGTTTAGTATTAACTGAAAGACTTGGTCTATTGAACCAGGAAATTCTATATTTAAATAGCAAGGACTTAAGTATAAAAGAAACTTTACTTTTACCTTCTTTCTAATATTCATTTATCGTGTTTAAGTTGAAAACTACTACCGCTGGGATGCAATGCAATGTACAGGTATTTCAATAGAAGTCCACTGATATTTCACAGGAAGCTCTGATTGCTACTACAAAATAACTGGTGGGCCTCTACCAGTCTGCATGGTGTTACGTCCTAGAAGACAGTACGCTTCATAGCTACAACTGTGACAACCACAAGTCCAATGCCAGTGTACTGCAGGAAGAAGTATTTTCAACAAATCATAAATAAATACAATTTTATGCTCTATGTCATATAGCTGGCTACAGCTTACTGTTACAGCTTTGATTCCCAGTATGATGTTTCACCATGATGACATTGTCTACAGACGACAGTTGGGATGAAGCTGTATGTATGCAATCATTAACTTATGAAGAGCAGAGTGTGGAGTTATATAAAGAGTAATTAACAATGATAGCATGACTTCTTGTACATAGTTAGTTGAGGCAGATATCAGGAGAGAGAAAGGCATTAGATATTATACAGGGAAATGTTTGTGGACAGGAAATAAAACTCACATCACTACATCAAAATTATAAAAAAAAACTGATAACATTTAAATTGATCGAAGAAAAAAATCTGGAAACAAGAAGTAACTTTGTAACTAAAAGGTTAAAAAGGGCTGAATATTTCCAACACACATGGTGACTCCCATTTCATATACTGGATGGAGTAAATTCCTATAAAATGCAACACCCACAAGGAAATATACAATAAATCCAAGCCAGCATGAATGTGTTAACACTTCTCTTCTGGTCCTGCATTCTCCAACCGTAAGTCTGAAGTCTTCTGTCTGACTGGTGCCATGTGAAGATCAGGCCATATGGCTCATCAGAAATAAATAAGAACTGTATGGACCAATTATGAAAGGAAACCTGCTCTGATGCACTACTCAGTAGAGGTACTCTTAAACAACAGTTTAGAATGGCTGTATTTCAAATTCTTTTCACCTGAAGATGGAAACAGAATCAACCATTGATTTTAATGAACTACGATCATGGACAAAGGCCAAATTTGTAATTTTAAATAAAGGAGTCTGTTGCTTTGTTATTCAATAATTGGTCCATCCAAAAGTCATAATGTGCTGTCAGTCTGAAGCCAGACATGCACAGTTCATATTATGACAGAAGCTGTTTGTGTGCACCATTGAGCATACATTTCAAATTGACAGAAAAGAGTTGAAAATTTAAATATATGACACTTTGTCCCTCAGTTTATGCGTCCTTTATGTGTCATGAAGCCGGTGTGGTCAAATATTGAGGGTGGGTCAGACGTCGACATTCCGTCCTTCTCCAGTGATGCCATCTTCAAACGACGGAGACGGCAGAAGAGCACCATGACACCAAGACTCAGAAGACAAAGTAGGACAGAGCCAAGACCTGTATAGAGCACAATTAAAAAGTCCAAACACGCCACATAACACATAATTAACTTGTACATACATCCAGTGAAGATGTACACACATAGTACAAATGCAAAGCAACCACTATGCCTATGTTGGCTTTAAGAATCCGATTATGGCATCAGTATTTAAAGTACATTTTAATAAGATCATCAATATAGACAAGGTGCTGATTTCTTTATATAGGTGACTCTCATGATCTCTGCTTTGGTTATCCATCCTTTTGCATATATATGGCTTTACTTCAATGTCATGAGAAGCATCAATATCCTGAAGACAGAAGTGCTTCACATGCTCATGAGCTATGCAGACAGTTTCCCAGACGTGGCTGATCACTTTGACTAAGTCATATGTTTTCCTATTCATTTTTTATTTATGAAACATGTTTCATTTCTCTATGCAATGCAATACGTGCGAAATATTAGGACCTGTCTACCAGACTTTACAGAATCACATCCCAGAAGACGGTAATTTCATATTCGCTAACATACAAATTTCCAATTGTGTATATCCAGTATTAGTAAATAACTTTCAACAAAATAAGTAAACAATGCAAAACTGTGCTTTCAGCTTGCTGACAAGAAGGAAACTCACCAAGAAGTGCAGAAAATGCACTAGTCTTCAGGCACACGCTGTTGAGGTCAAATAATGTGCCTGAAACATGAAGTCAGACAAGTCTACATTAGTCACCTGTAATTGAAGCATGTAGTGTGAACTGATGTACTGTTTACTGCATTTAACATAGCAGAATATATCAAAATTAAATTATCCTGCCTTACATAACCTACAAAGATTTGCGAATAAAATACAGCTAACTGATCTGATAGTGTCAGCAGAATAAAATTCAACTAACTCATCTGATGGTGTCAGTTGAAAGAGCAAAATTAATTTACCATGTCATGCTTAACCTACAAAGAACAGGTTGTACAATACAGTAAGACAAACTGGCCTGATTGAGTAAAAGATAATTTAAATTATGCTGTAAATGTAAAAAATGAAGGACGACATCACAAGATGTTAGCATCACTTAAAGAGAAAAATGAAGATGACCGAAGTGCCCTTTCACGACACTTAACAGACTAAAACATCGCATTAAAGCGTTTGATTTAACTGCCTATACAGCATCAGGATGTACAGAATTCAAATGGTGTGGGAAAGGATTAGAATTATGTCACTCACACATGGAGTTTTCCTTAAGGATCTGCCAACTATGTAGCCATTCAAGAATTTCCCAGCATTTTATGGAATCCAAAGGTTCATTACCGTGTTCACAAGAGCCCTTCACTGGTCCATATCCTGATCTAGATCAATCTAACCCATATCATCCCATCCTATCTCTCTAAGGTCCATTTTAATATTACCCACACACCTACATCTTAGTCTGCCTAGTGGCTTCTCTCCTTCTGGCTTTCCCACCAAAATCAAACATGCATTTCTCTTCTCATTTTTCGTTTTAAGAAAACACAGAAAAAAGGTGCCCAAATATAAATTTCAACTATTACACCTTTGAACAAACATCATTTTTAATGACATCGCTGATTCAAATTTAAATTTAACCTTGACATTAACCAAATTTTAAATCCTTTCATAATTTTAAAGCAATCTCCACCCCACACACTTTATAGAAATAATATTTACCTCAGATCTCCATGAATGTGGAAAGAAAAAAAAAAATAGACAACCACTCATATCAACAGATGCAGGTTTAACAGTGTTCTGGGAATGTTAGTAATGAACATTTTGTGAAATTCTTGCTATATTAAAACAGCATAATGATCATACCAATACTAAGGGTTCTGATTAACTTGTCGATCCAGTGTGATTATTTTTATCTAAGTCACAAAACTGTGAATGCAATCCCATTCCATGGGATCTTGGAGTTACACGGTCATTTCAGAGGACTTGGATGTGCCCAAGGCTAATTACCCAGAATGCCTACTCACTGTTGTTAGGTGCCAAGCCCGTGTCAGCATTTTCACCATCTTGCACAACGCGCAGTGACTGGAACAGACTCACATTCTCAGACAGTGCATGGTGTGGTGGAACTAATGTTGTAGCAGCCACTGAACGTTTAGTCAGGGACTTGGCATTTCGCCAGTGGCAGGGCTGGCTCTGCAATCATACCAAGAACAACAAATTGCAATGTTATTTAGCAGCACTATACCAACTGTAACAGTTAATACTGCATTGTATGACAGAATGATTAAGTACATATAACATTAACAAATATGAAATAAAATGGAAATGTCCTTCATCAGGGCATTAATACATAAGTTTAAGGTACGTACATTGATATTCAGTGACACTATATATAATGTAGCACTTATTCTATATTCAGAACGAGGAAATAAATAAGTAAATACAGGAAATATAATAAGGAATGAAATTAATGGCATATGTCAAGGACTAATGCATATGTTCAAAGTATGTTCATGGGTTATTTAATGGCATTATATCGACCACTGTAGCTACTTAGTGCTGATCATTAAGACAGAATGACTAACATGACATTATTGCTGTAGCAACATGTTGAAACAAGTACCCCATGAATATAAATCCAACACATTACATCTGTGTCCTGCATATGATGCAACATTTTTAGAGTACTTACTGGACATCTCCCATGACACATCCGCACATCACACTCAATATATAGCGCAGGGGATCCAGTAAAGCGAAAAGTTTTCATATATGCAAACACCTGTGTTTCAAACACTCCACTTTCACTCCAAGACCCACGGAACCGACTGATCAACTTATCATCCACAGGGCATCTGTAACACAACAATTTTGTAGCCACAATGAATACTAGATAAAATGCTGAGTTAAATAAAATAAGTAAATAAGTATTTATAGACAAATTAATTAATAATCTCAAGGTTAATGGATGACATTTCTATCTAATGTATGAGAAGTCTTGTCCCATATATCACTCACAGTTTAAAGTCAGTAATAATCTGACATTTTTATCTGTGTATACATATAGAGTGGAATAGACTTTTCCACTGAATGTCACCAGCTCAGTTTCATGACATGTTTGTCCTAATGTTTATTAAGTGTAATCTATCATAGTGTCTGTTACAATTTAAACAGAAAATTGTTAAGAACAATGTCTTATCACTAATTTGAAACGTTCAGGAAAAACATCTATATTTGTAAAAAGAAAAGGTATTTTTTTTTATTTATTGGCTGCTATGAGGTGTAAGCAATGGAATAAAAATATCCGCTATGAAGTGCTGCTATCTAGGAAATTTCTTTGACACTGAATCATACATTCATCTGCTGCCATCTTCTGCTCACATGTATAATTACTTGCTAACATATGAAACAAAAGGAGAGTATGTCTTGGTTCTTCGTATGTAAGCACACAGATCAGCAAACTATAACTAAATGCAGCTAAATGGAAAGAACACACACAAGATACTGACCCATACTGATCAATGAGCTGGATCTTCTTAGTGGCCCCATTGTGAGCAAAGCAGTCATTCACTACAATGTCAAAACCATCTGGAACAGAGCAATGGATCACTTGGATTCATAGAACACTTTAGAGTTCTGAATAAAATGTCAAAACTAATTACTGATGTAGAAAATTATATTAATTTTGATGACTACTGTCATGTAGGATGTGAAGCAAAAGTTGTTACACTCCAAATAGTACTCTATATAATCAGTACTGTAAGAACCCAGAAGCCAATATATGAATTTTATTTGTCAGAAACTGAATCAATAAGCAGAAATGATATATAAATCTGAAAGTGCCAGCTGTTGAAATAAATAACAGAGATCTTTATTTTCTTCTCCTGTCTTCAGGGTTATTACCCTCTAATGGTTCCTCACACCATGTTTCCATCCCTTCTGCAGTCTTCCTCAGACAGGCCTTGCTTGATAATTAGTTCCATTGTGTCCTCACTCCAGATTCTTCGTGGTCTTCCTCTCTTCCAGCTTCCTGCTGGACTCCATTCCAATATATGGCTGGTAACTGGTGTTCCAGTTTTTCAAATTATCAGAAATCAGTGTAATTCACTTATGCTGCCACCTGGCTTTGACTTTCAAATGCGTGTAATATAGGATGAAGGGTCTGTGAAGGAATAAAAGGTCTAAATTGCAGTGCTAAAAGGCATAAGAGGAGTGGTAAATGCACCAATCTGATTAGAAGTGTGCTGCCAGACCACTGAGACTGGAGAAATATAAAGATAATGTTATCCCTGTACTTAATTAAGCACCACTCCAGGAAGGTGTATGATGGCATGGAGGGATGAAACCTCATTTCATCAGAATGGCTGATAACAATTTTATACATTCTTACATTTTGTTCTCTGCTTAATCCTCTGCTGCCAAGGCTTGCCATCAAAGTACCCACTAGAAAGTCCAAGAATTCTTGAAAGTAAATGCAGTTATACAGAAAAATCCAGAATCTCAAATTACCGTCAAATTACCATGAGAATAGATCATGTACAAGCCTGTTCTTTACTTTAATCACCCATATGTCGTCACAACTGATGCCATCTATTATTATAAACATCATAGTAACTGACCAAAACAAGCCACTCTCCTTGGCTGGGGTGATTTCAACACAGAGTACCATGAGCCGATGTAGTCAGTATGTGGTGTGCAAAGAGATTTTTATTTATTTTTTGATGTAGTAGTATCTGAATATTCCAGTGCCCTTTTCTCCTCTTGTCTGACTTCCATTTATAGACCTCCATTACCTCTCTTTCAACAGCCAGATATACAAACTCTTTATTTTTTTAACAATTTTATTTTGAATTTCTAGCTTATAATATAGTGACTCATTATTGTTATGTTTTTGGTGTCATTTGCAGAAGTTCTAATTTTAGATGGCATATTACTTTAAAATTAATATAACAGCCTCTGCACAGGTGAGGGTATCAAATGATAGAATTAATAATGTTAATAAATAGCCTGAAGGCTACTGAGGGCAGATGCAGAAAATATCATTACAACCAGACTGGCAGCAAGTGGCTCACCATATTTGCTGCGCATATAGATGATCAGGGTGAGGGGGTCTCCCACACGGACTGGTCCCCCAACCCGTGCACCTGATGTACCATATCCATGCCTGATCTCCATGTAACACTCAGGAGGTGACAAGGTGAAAACCACGGGATTGCCTGTAGCTACCCTGCAAAATAGTTCTTTCATTGTGTTCACAGGGCTTTTAGGTATTTCACATGATTCTATGATTCTCAGACTAAAGATGATTATTTCCCTAAACAGCACATAACCACTAATTTTGTAATGGAGACATATTGTATTAAATGCAAGGAAGGTATTTAATTTATAAAATTTAACTTAGATAAGTAACTAACTAACTAAATGAAGGCTGAAATTTGGTCAGTTAGTCAAGAAGTTCCCAATAATTTATGGAACTCTAAAGCTAATTATTGTGTTCACAAGAACCTGCTACTTATCTCTATCCTCAGCCAGAAGAATTCAGTCCACTTTGTCTCATCTTATTTCTTTAAGATATAATTAATATTATAACCCTATTTATAACTGAATCTTGAAAGTGGTCTCTTTCCTTCAGGATTTACATGAATTTCAATTGACAGCATTAAATATGATACAAGCTTGAACAGAGTGTACCAAAAATATAAACTTACTCCACATCCAGGAAGGGAAATGTGACAGTCTTCCAGAAGTCATAACCATATTCACACGTGACCTTGAAGTGTTCATCCCACTCCTCCTCGATGAGTGGGTTGTACTGCACTGTCACCGTGTTCCACATGAAGTTTTTCTGCAATGTCAATATTACACTGATGGTTGGACACAACAAAAGCAAATACAGAATCGTGTCCCTGAGCTTAATTAAGCACCATGCCATAGAAACATATAGAAGAATGGAGGAAGAGATATCAGCATCTACTAGATAGCTGTGTTACGTAAAATACTCCATGATACTAGCTCAAGAAAACTTACTGTTGGTGCCTTCCTACTGTCCTCATGGTGAGTGTTCCTCCCCAGAGTCCCACATCTGTTCAGTTGGATAAAGAACTCATAATAATCTCGCCCTGTGCCGTTGATATAGACACAGTCTGGGTCATATGAGTAGCCTGTATGAATAAAACAGAAGTGAAATGTATTAAAAATATATGTAACATATAACCGGGTCAATGAAATAATGAACACATGTAGCTGGAGTTATGATTTGCTGCCTCCTCCCCTTCCTTGCCCATACTGTACATATCCCATCCATCAACTGTTCATGCTCTTCAATGTCTTCATAAAGGAATGAAATACAAACATGTATGCAAAACGGGAGACAAGGAGAAACAAGAGCCAGTAGATAGTGATCATTGTTGGGAGTAGGGGGAGGTGCAGTGCGGGGAGGCAGCTGTTAGGGAGACAGGTGGGGGGAAATTTGTGTTTATTGTTTGGTTGCCCATTCTTTTCTATTATTTACTTTTGTCTCCATCTCTTTATATTCACTTGCCCTAAATCATCCTCTGCATCTTCCAGCAACCTCAGTATGGGGATTCCCATTTCTCTTCTTTCATCTGATTTACTTTCATATATTTTCTTAGCCACTCTTGTTTGTTCCCTCCCACTTACACACCCCAACCACTCTGAAATTAATGTCTTAATATCTTCTAACGGGTCAAGGGTATATAATTCATCCAATTTTTGGTTAGCGTTTCCCCAAACTCTTGTCATCTCCCAGTCTGCATCCAATTTAATAAACCTTATGCTGAGGAGAATATCTAGAACTGTTATAGATGAAACATATGGATTTTTACACTATTGACTGGCTTTGTAATAAAAATGTCAAGGTCAATTGAGTATGAATATGTGTACTGCATACTGAATTGCAAATTTCTTAGCTACCATTTCTTCTTTAAATACTGCTAGCAGTATAGTTTGTCATTTTACCACTAGGGGACTCCTCAGGGTTGTTGTCAAGCCAAGGAAGTCTAGGCCAACGCCCTGGTGCTTCCATAACTGACACTTTTTTAGAAGACACTCATGTGAAACATTAAGTTCTCATAGTTTATCTGAGTTATATGTTTTTGTGCCTTTGATGAGCTGTTTGTAGTTCAACTCTAGATCGTTAGGTAAGAAGGTCATCTTGATATCACATTTTATAGTCATTTCTGTACTCGACAGTACTGTGAACTGGATAACCCTAGCACTTTCCTTTTTGAAACTACACCCTTGCCAGAAATCCAAGGTGGCACACATGCTGGATATTGAGGAATGGAATAATCAGTGCTGGTATGTAATGAGTTAAATGATTTCTTCTTTTGTGACTGATCTAATTAACCTAGATTCTGAAGAGATAAAACGGATTCTGAATTGAGTATTGTGAAAAAACGATAATTGACAGTTTTAGAACTGAGAAACAAATTTCATTTCATTCTAATATAAGCTGTTTAATACATAAAAATCAGTCACATGCAAGTATACATTCAAGGATTTCAAGAGTCTTTATCTGAGATATGAGTGGTGAGTTTGCTGGGAGTATAAAGTTACCCTAGGATGAAGTCTGTTACCTGAAGAGTAGAGAAGACCAGTGAAGGAGCCATTGAAACCGATACGAATCTTCATGTAATCGTCTTGGCATTCTGCTTCAATATCTGTGCACATGAAAATAAGAAAGAAAATACCAGAAACTTTTAATGTGATACTCATAGATGTGGATCTATCTTAAAATGATGGATATTTTCTTGTTCCCATCAAAGGAGGTTAAGAAAATTTAAACATACAGTTTCATTGTACTTCTTTTGGCTTATTTTGGACTTCACCCATCATCTGGTATGTAAAAGACAAAAAACCACGACGTTTTGGAGACTGGATCTGTCTCCGTCTTCAGGTGGATAGGGAAAGAGCTGGTCCAGTGATTGAGACTAGCTCTTTCTAAGGGGCCCAGCTGAGTAGGTTTATCCTTCCCTATCCACCTGAAGACGCTATATGGAGGCAAGTGGTCCTATTCATGATCCGGCCGATTTACCTCAAAATAAAAACCAACACTATCCATTGAATCGAAGGCTGTGTGGACACTTTGGAAAAAGAAGAGCATGTTTCCACCACCAGGATTTGAACCCCGGTACCTCACTTGACCAGCCTGCAGCACAGTCCTTTGTCTGACTGTGGTATTGCAGCTTGTTGGTTAAGATGACATCAGGGACAATATGTACGTAAACACCGAGGACAGACAATCATAAACTCACGCTGTACGCGGGTTGTGTTGGACCTCCATCGGCTGTAGTCTCTGTCCCAGGCCTCAATGGGTGCCACGTGGTGATAGTCCAGATCATCCGGGTGCGGCCCCGGACGGGATCGTATCTGACTGATGGGTACATACCCCGAGCCATCAGCCACAAACACCACCTGTCGGACATATACACACTTATAGAATCTGAGCGTCATGTGTGTTAGTTTGGTGCTTAATTAATTTTTTTAAACCTATACGTGTCAGCCGGTCACGGTAGCCGAGCGGTCTAAGGCATATACTGTCTTCGCTCGCTCCGACGCCGGGATCGTGGGTTCGAATCCCACACAAGGCATGGATGTGCGTTTATTCAGTGTTCGTGATGTCCTGTGTTTATGTATAGGCCTTGCGACGAGCTGATCACTCGTCCAAGGAATCCTACCGCCTGTAAAATGATCATGAAACTGAAAATCAGAGGCCTGGGCCCAAGGGGGCTGTAGAGCCAGTGAAAAGAAAAAAATCCCGTGTCATCTTTTAGTCCTCTACTGTCAAGCCACAATCTACTAATCTACTACACGCGACAAATCTTACAGTGGCTTCGGATAGGACATTGATGCTCCTCATGTCACTGAAATAAAACCGTGTACATGCAAAATCGAGTATAACGGAAGTCTTCTCTATTAGAGAATGGTTGTGGATTTACAGTTTCAGAACATGTGAAGAGGACTAATCCGTGAAAATTTGAAGAGATCCGCAAATTCGTCATTTGAGAGTGTTATCTGCAAAAATAAAAAAAATAAATTCCGGACATTTGTAAGGGCACCAGACGTACATAACGAACAGGTCTGTATAGCAGTAACGTTCTCGACTCCTATTCGGGAGGTCTTCGTTTTGTATCTCAGCCAGGACACTGGCTATCCTCGCTGAGGTTCTTCGTGGTTTTCCTTAGTCCCTCCAGACAAAATACCGGGATGGCTGGACCACAACCGTTTCCACAAATCCTTTCTAAATCGTCATCCATCTTACAATTTTACGTTATATATTCTAGCTATTGACAAACAAACTCCGTGACCTGTAGCCCGCAAGCGAACTATACCGACCGAGCGACTTTAGGGGATAGAGGGTGTCGCGTGGTCAGCGCAACGGATCCCCACGGCCGTTAATCTCGGATTTCTAGACCGGAGTCGCTATTTCCTTGAAATAGCTCCTCAATTATCCTCATGATGCTGAGTGGACCACGTTCCAGACCCACTACTTCTCAGAAAATCTGGTAACGACGGGAATCGAACCCGGAACCTTAGGATCTGTAGCCAGGAACTCTGACCACTAGACCACGAGGCGGTCCCTTAGCTACTGACATAATAACAAAATTACTGCAAGTAACAGACGAGTCGCTGTATCGCTTTTCACACGCTGAAGACATAAACACAGGTCTGGACCCGTTACGTCACACTTTACCATTCTGATTAGCATGGCCTCCTGCGTCTCTGTCTCTCTCGAGGCAACAGGAAAGAAAGTTCATTGTGAATAAGTAACAAGTTTCAACACCTGTGTGACGTCACGTCACTCGCCTGGAAATCTGCGTATTTTTAAAATTCCGGTGTTACATCCTCTGCAGGCGCTTGACCAGTGTGCGTACTACTGCCCAGCCTGGCTTCTGGGGATATCACGGGAAAATACTCACAAATTAAATTCGATTAGATCTTCTTCTTTCCCCTCTCACAGACAGTGAGTGCTTTGAAGCCCCTTTTGAGATTTTTAAATTTAAATTTCTCTTCCACTCATTCCGAGGTCTTACTATGTCTTTCTCCTTTGGGAGTTGTCTTCTTGTTCCTTTCTCGGGAATGAAAAGTATTTTTCTGGCAGTGTCAGTTGCTAGAACATATAGTGTCCATGAAAGATGAAACTGAAAGGATTTCGAAGGAAGCGGTATTGTCCTAATCAATGTGCTATCCCGGTATGGGCCTCGAAGGACTTAGAAAAACCACGGAGGACCTCAGTCAGGATAGCAAATGTTCTGGCCGAGATTCGATCCCAGCACCTTTCAAATACAAACCTATAGCATTACTGCTATATCAGCCTGCTCGGTAGTTTTTTCATTTTAGTCTCTTGGGGTGGGGGTGAGACTGAGTCCACTTAGTACGTCGGCCACTATATTACCTATTGTACCAGCACCGGATGTTAGATGAGTGTGGAGCAGTCGGTTGGATGAGAATTGGAAGGGGAAACCGAAGTACTCGGGGAAAACCTGCCTTAGAGATAATTTGTGCACCACAAATCCAACATGACCTGACCTGGGCTCGAACCAGGCCGCCGCGGTGGAAGCCGGAGACTAACCTCATGAGCTATGACACGGCCAGCCCGCTCGGTAACACGTAATAGTTAAAAAAGAAAAACATTACTTTGAGGGCTGACACGTCACAAAGAGAACATTTCGAAAAAATCTCGAAAGCCTATGCGAAATTGTACTTTGCCTCTCTGGATATCTCGGCCGGAATGTTTCAGCACTCGGAACATGAGGGCAGCACACGTTAATGGCCGCCCCATCGACACCATTCCAAGTGTGTAACCTTTAGTCTGCACTCCGTTATGTGCGTTGCGGTGCAGTCTAATTACCGCGTTGCAACTTTGCACATTGCTGAACTGGGCTAACTGCAGAAACCAATGCTTCACACAGGGTGTTTCAAAAACAGGGTTATGAGAGGGTTTGGAACTCAACTGGGGTAGAAGTGGAACAAAATTACATAACGTGGAGCTCCATAATTTGTTCTCTTTGCCAGATATTACTAAGAGAGTAAAATCAAGGTGGATGAGCTGGGCAGGGCATGTAACACAAATGGAATAGAAGGAAAGTGCAATTTTTGGTAGGAAATAGCCTATCAATGAAAGACAACTAGGAAGGGAGTAGAATGCAGAAGAATACTGAAACAGACCTTAAGGAAATAATATGTTTCNTAACACAAATGGAATAGAAGGAAAGTGCAATTTTTGGTAGGAAATATCAATGAAAGACAACTAGGAAGTCTTGGGAATAGAATGGAGGAGAATACTGAAAGAGACCTTAAGGAAATAATGTGTTTTTTTTATTGCTAGTTGTGTGGGACTAAGTCCCTTGTACTGCGGCCACTTCTGGCCTATTGTACCAGCCCCACATGATAGGTGAGGGTGATTGTGGAGCAATTGGTGGAATGAAGATTGCCAGGGGAAACCTAAGTACTCGGAGAAAACCTGCCCCAGCGCCACTTTGTCCACCACAAATCCCACTTGACTAGATCCAGGATCGATCCGGGGCCGCCGCAGTGAGAAGCCAGCGACTAACCGCTTGAGCTATGGCGCGGCCACAATAGTATGTTAGAATGCGGGCTGCATTCATCTGGGCCAGGACAGAGGACAGTGGTGGGTTCTTGCGAGCTGGCACGGGACCTTCGGTTCCCATAGAGAGCTGGCATTTGCTTGAGTAGTAAAGCAACTGCTAGCTTCTAAATGAGGACTCAGCTAAGTTAGTTAAGAGAGAAGCTGCAGGCGTAACAGGAAGATGGGCGAAACCGGGCCCCGTTCACTCACACCCTCGGTCACAGCTGAAGGAGTTCTTAGCCTATACACTTCCACCTTGAAGATGGAGATAGAAGTGTCGATATCCGTTAGAGCAGATATAAAGAGAAAAGGGCGAACATAAGGATAGGAAAGAGAGAAACAGAAGAACGGAGACAGGAGAGTAGAAAAAGAAGAGGAGAGAATGAGACTTGGAAGAACAGGTAAAGTTATCCCTGTAACAGGCCGTGAAGACCCATAGGGCTGTGAGACGTCAAGGCTCCCATATTTTCTACATAATCGGCTCATAAATTGCCTTGAGATAAGGGAAAGCTATCCCTGTAACAGGCCGTGAAGACCCATAGGGCTGTGAGACGTCAAGGCTCCCATATTTTCTACATAATCGGCTCATAAATTGCCTTGAGATAAGGGAAAGCTATCCCTGTAACAGGCCGTGAAGACCCATAGGGTTGTGAGACGTCGACGCTCCCACATTTTCTAGACAGTTGGCTCACACATGGCGGTGAGGTTGTCAGTCTTATGCGCCGGCCGCCATTTACCCCCAGGAAGATTTCTGATACTCATTTCTGTTAGAGGCTGAGTAGATCCCAGGGCCATAGTGCGGCTGGAAGGGTTAGGTAACGTGACAAAATCCACCTCATCGGGACTTGAACACGCGACCTTCCGGCTTGTAGCATATTGCGTCAACCAACTGCGCTACCGCGCGCCCAAGGAAGAACAGAAGGATGAAAATAATGAAACGGAAAAGATAAAGATGAAGTCGAAGGGAGGTAGAGAAGAAGAGGAATTTGTAGAGGGGAGGTGGAAGAAGACTGGAGGAGATAGGGAGGAAAGCGGGGAAGATGGAGCTCAAAGAAGTGGGGAAAGTTGGAAGAAAATTGGGGGACAAAAGAGGCGGAAGAAGATAGAAGTTGCGAACGAGTAAAGAGGACAAACCCGTTGCTCTGTGTGTCTGATGACAGGGTTACAAAACCGTAACCTGTTTCAGAGCAACTGCAGGAACCCTGTACTCACGGAGCTCTGCTCGCTGCTATCATGCGCCAGTCCGTCCGTCTCATTATCGGGCACCACGATAGGACCCAGCTTCCTCAGCAGCGCCGCGGACCCACCACCAGAGTTGTCCGCCTGCTCGCCAGGGTGTGCCGCGTAGAGCTCCGTCACTCCACCACCTGCCGCTTCCGGCGACGTCACATCCTGCTCCAACGTCGCGTCGAACAACTGACACAAGTAATCATGATTCAGTTCAATTCAAATCTCCATTTATTTACATGATGAACTCGACAGTCAGAAGCCAAACACAGCTAGCACGAACACAAAACAAACAGATAGTAAAAGCGCTAAAACAATTAAAAAATAAAAAGTTATCTCTGTTAACAGGCCGTGGACNACCTTCCGGCTTGTAGCATATTGCGTCAACCAACTGCGCTACCGCGTGCCCAAGGAAAAACGGAAGGATGATAATAATGAAACGGAAAAGAGAAAGATGAACATGAAGGGAGATAGAGAAGAAGAGGAATTTGTAGAGGGGAGGTGGAAGAAGTCTGGAGGAGATAGGGAGGAAAGCAGGGAAGATGGAGCTCAAAAAAGTGGGGAAAGTTGGAAGAAAATTAGGGGACAAAAGAGGCGGAAGGAGATAGAAGTTGCTAACGAGTAAAGAGAACAAACCCGTTGTTCTGTGTGTCTGATGACAGGGTTACAAAACCGTAACCTGTTTCAGAGCAACTGCAGGAACCCTGTACTCACGGAGCTCTGCTCGCTGCTATCATGCGCCAGTCCGTCCGTCTCATTATCGGGCACCACGATAGGACCCAGCTTCCTCAGCAGCGCCGCGGACCCACCACCAGAGTTGTCCGCCTGCTCGCCAGGGTGCGCCGCGTACAGCTCCGTCACTCCACCACCTGCCGCTTCCGGCGACGTCACATCCTGCTCCAACGTCGCGTCGAACAACTGATACAAGCAATCACGATTCAGTTTAATTCAAATCTCCATTTATTTACATGATGAACTCGACACTCAGAAGCCAAACACATAGCTAGCACGAACACAAAACAAACAGATAATAAAAGCGCTAAATCAATTACAAAATAAAAAGTTATCTCTGTTAACAGGCCGTGGACGCCCACAGGGTTGTGAGACGTCGAGGCTCCAACATTTTCTAGACAATCAGCTCATAGATGGCATTGAGGTTATCAGCCTTACTCGCCGGCCTTCCTTTGTAACCCCAGGAAGATTGTTGGGACTCATTTCTGTTAGCGGCTGAGTCGACCCCAGGGCCATAGTGCGACTGGAAGGATTAGGTCAATTTAGAAACCCAATTACCTCATGGGAGGAGGGCACGCGGTAGCGTAGTTTGTTGAGGCACTATACTACAAGCCGGAACGTCGCGGGACCGAATCCCGATGAGGTGGAATTTTTCAATATACCTAATCATCCTAGCCGCTAAAGTTGGCACTAACTTCGTTGACAAGCAGCGGTCGCTCGGTCGCTATAGTTCGCTTGCGGACTTAAGCTACGGAGTTTGTTTTGTTTTGTGATATGCAGAGCCTAGACAGGCATACAGACACGTACTGAAGGTCACTGGTGCTCAGATTACACTTCTCTACAGTTTACACACATTCAATGAGATGATGATGTTATTATGAACTGTGATCAGGCAAAGGGTTTGGNACAGTCAGAAGCCAAACACAGCTAGCACGAACACAAAACAAACAGATAGTAAAAGCGCTAAAACAATTAAAAAATAAAAAGTTATCTCTGTTAACAGGCCGTGGACGCCCACAGGGTTGTGAGACGTCGAGGCTCCAACATTTTCTAGACAATCAGCTCATAGATGGCATTGAGGTTATCAGCCTTACTCGCCGGCCTTCCTTTGTAACCCCAGGAAGATTGTTGGGACTCATTTCTGTTAGCGGCTGAGTCGACCCCAGGGCCATAGTGCGACTGGAAGGATTAGGTCAATTTAGAAACCCAATTACCTCATGGGAGGAGGGCACGCGGTAGCGTAGTTTGTTGAGGCACTATACTACAAGCCGGAACGTCGCGGGACCGAATCCCGATGAGGTGCAAATTTTTCAATATACCTAATAATCCCAGCCGCTAAAGTTGGCACTAGCTTCGTTGACAAGCAGCGGTCGCTCGGTCGCTATAGTTCGCTTGCGGACTTAAGCTACGGAGTTCGTTTTGTTTTGTGATACGCAGAGCCTAGACAGGCATACAGACACGTACTGAAGGTCACTGGTGCTCAGATTACACTTCTCTACAGTTTACACACATTCAGTGAGATGATGTTATTATGAACTGTGATCAGGCAAAGGGCTTGGAAAGAGGTGATCCTAGCATTTGTAACAGATTTGTACCATAAAGTATCTAGGCAGGACAACAGTTAGAGAACAGCGATCCGACCGGAATGTCTCTCGAATACAAATCAGAACCGCTACCGCTATGCAAACTTGCTCACTGAACGAATCTGGCCAGGCAGTAATGACTCTCACTTGTATTCATGGGATATCTGGTTCGAATGTCAATACCAACTACTCTGACAGGATTTTCGTGCTTTTCCTGAGTCTCTCCAAGAAAACGTAATGACTGCATTTAAATTAGGCCGCAGCCACTTCCACCCACATTCTTCATGCCATTCGACACTATGTAGCCTGAGCTACTGACATCGTTAAACGAACCATAGACCAATCTACTCGGCTCTCAACGAGAAAATTATGAAGCGATGTTCCGCTCAACGTCTCCGCTAAGCATGGACGATATTCCGAAGGAAAGCCTGTGTAACACTGCCTGTGGCGGAGAGATTTTCCGGCGCTTGGCGAGGGATGCAGATTGGGCTCGCTACGAAGCAAGCGAGAGAACAGCCTCTCACAGACAGAGGTACAAAGGACTCTACATAAAATCTGCCTAGCCATGAAGTAGCTCAGGCAGAACAAATGCGATTTCACTGGGTCCCAACACAATGTACTGTCCCTCGGGTTCGGCAGGTGTCCTCGCTTTTCGTAGGGCAATATACATCCCTGAAAAATGGACATCATCACAATCTACAGCCAGAACACTGTAACGGTACCTGTAACGCAAAGCATGTCTATGTATATAACCGAAACAAACTCCGTGGCTTTAGTCCGCAAGCGAACTATACCGATCGAGCTACCGCCGCGTGTCGGCGAAGTTAGTGCCAACTTTAGCGGATAGATGGTGTCGCGTGGTCAGCGTAACGAATCCCCACGGCCGTTAATTTCGGGTTTCCAGACCGGAGCCGCTAATTTTCCATTCAAGTATCTCCTCAATTATCCTCACGAGGCTGAGTGGATCCCGTTCCAGACACACTACTTCTCAGAAAATCTGGTAGCGCCGAGAATAGAACCCGGACCTCTCGATCTGTAGCCAGGTACTCTGACCACTACATGATAGAGGAGGTCCTTAATTAGGTACCATGCCATAAAAATATGTGCGGAGTGGAGGAAGATCTCCATATATTCTTAACCTCTGCGCTAGATGGATATGAATAGTCAGTTTCGAGCCCCAACAGCTTTATCCTCAGTGAAAGCGACCCAGGCGCGCATTGTATAGGAGGCAGGTTGGGTGTCAGAGCCGGTCTGGACGATATGGATAAGAGAAAAATGTATTTCCCTTACCTGGACTCGAACCTCGACTTCTTAGCCGTCCGACCCCTAGCCTTGTCTTTATACTGACTGCGCTACCCCTGCTCCAATAATAATAATAATAATAATAATAATAATAATGTCTGACTGTTTTTATAAGAAAAAGTGGTTGAGTGGATATCACTCCTGCTTCTTATTCAGGAGGTCCTGGGTTCTAATCTGGGCCTTGAGACAGGCCATCCTGACTGAGGTTTCTCCGTGATTTTTCCTCACTTCCTCCAGACAAATGCCGGAAATTGCCTCATATTACGTCACAAAAATTCTTCCACATTCTTCCCATAAATCACCCTGCGATTTGAGGCTACATAGCCTAAGCTATTGACAGTGTCGTTAAATAAACAATACTTATGAATAGCAGGGGCAGTTAGACTTACCTGTGACAGCAGCAGGCACCAGCACGCAATACAGCTGTGCCTGAAATACAGAACAGAGGCATGGGGTGAGAGACTGTAGCGTGTCTCTGTACGAGTTGAGGCATCCAGTGAGGCTCCACAGAGAGGCAGGAGGGGTGGGAGTAAGATGTACTACAGAAAATGGTCTAACAAAGAAAGCAACAAAAAGAAACGATATTCCCAAAATAAGATCTAAAAGTTTGTGACGATTATATATTAATATAATTATTGTGTGCCTGAACATTATCCAGCGTCCTGTTTATTATTTAAAAAAATGTTTCAGAGACTGGAATCTGTCTCCATCAGGTAAAAACCTACTCAGTTGGACCCAAATCGATTAAGCTCAACTCAGTAGGTTTTCACCTGAGGATGGAGACAGATTCCAGTTTAGATAGGCTGTTTTTAGATGTACAAAATATTTTATACAAGAAACACTTCACCGAAATTTGAAAATTATGCAGAAGTCGAAAAGTAAGTTCTTCAGAGTGTAACGCAATATACTTCTGAGAAAACCCGACGTTTCGGAGGAATTTATCGGCTCCATCTTCAGGGTCCTACATACCGCCAGCTTCTGCTAGTTTCTTGTTTGGTTTGTCCTTCGACATCGAATATGGAGGGTACATACTCCTTAGAAACGTCGGATTCTCTCCGAGCTGCAGGTATTACAACAGAGAAGACCGCATTCCTTATACTGAACGCCGTTGCAGCCTCAAACCCAATAAATATTCTCTCAGCCTGCTTAAGAAGTACGCTCACTATACACGCGAGGCTGAATACGAAGTATGGACCCGAGCTTTGAAGAGAACAGCGCCTGAATACGTAAGTGTTTGGCGAACAGTGAGAAGTTCAGTGAAGATAACATAACATTGTCTCTTTCAATTCGTGGGGCGGAATGAGTCTGAGTCCACTCGGTGCTTGGCCCCGGATGATAGATGAGTATACAGGATTCGGTGGAATGAGAATTGGCAGGGGAAATGGAAAACTTCGGAGAAAACCCGCCCCAGTGCCACTTTGTCCATCATAAATCCTATACACTAACCTGGGAACATACCCGGTAGTTAGGGCATCTAGCAACCTGAGCTGTGCCTAAAACATCCCTGATGATCCAAACATTATCATCAGCACCATCTTCCCAAACAGACCCGCTCTATGTTCCTCCTTTAATGTTAGAGACCAAGTTTCACACCCGGCATTGCTATAACAGGAGGTTACTCGTCGACTCCTCACCGCGACGGCCTGCATTCGAACCCAGGTCAAGTCATGTGGGATTTGTGGTGTACAAAGTGGCACTGGGGGAGGTTTTCTCGGAGTACTTCGGTTTCCTTTCCCAATTCTCATTCCACTGACTGCTTCATATTCATCTAACATCCGGTGCTGGTAGAATAGGTCAGTTAGTGGCCCACGTACCAAGTGGACTCAGCCTCCCACCTTCCCCCAAGAAAAAAAAATCACACCCAGACAATATAACGGTTTTGTATATTTTAATTGTTGAGTTTTAGAAAAGCCGAGGGCGTGGCAAAATATTCCTAACTGAATGGCAGCAAGCATTTCTCGATGTACGAGTACACCAGTTCGAGCATTGTTACAGAATTATTCTGAAATTGCTAACAGTTGCTCATCTCTCGATATTTCGCGCGTTCCTAGTGCTCAGTGGAGCACCAGAGCGCTGCTTCCTTCCTTCCTGAGAGTTCGCCGGCCCGACGTAACGGTGCGCCGTTCCAACTCAAGGCCTCCGATACGTCACGCCTCGGCAAGGCCGCCTGCCTAAACGTAAACAAGACTTCGCACATTTTCTTAACAGTTGCACATAGCAGAAAAGTGCCTTCAATTTCCATACAAATTGAGCTATCTTGTGACGTCATGGCAAGACGCACGTTTATTCATTTATAGAATATCTCAGGCTCTATAGGCTACGGGCTTCATAACTGATGGATAGTGGTTCTATTCCCGATAGGGCACAGTTATCCACACAATGAAGACCGGCCGTAGAACCCACCGAGACCCTCACCTTCACTCAATTTTCCTTCAGTTGCTTATTTAATGATGCTGTTGGAAACGAGACTATATAGCGACCGATTATAGATGACTAATGTATGTATAACAGTTGATGAAAAGTGGGAATTGGTAGGGGAAACCGAATAGGAGAAAACCAGCTCTAGTGCAACACAAATCTCACGTGACCTAACAATGGATCAAACCCAAGCCTTCGTGGTGATAAACTAGCAACTGTGGTATGCAGGTCTATGCAATTTCTAACCTTCACGAATACCTAACCCCCCAAATGTGTCTCCACCTTGTCGTGGTGGTGGGCATTGCGTGACTCTGTGACCTGGAGATCTATGCCGTGGTAGTTTAACTACTGGTAGGGTCACTTATGCCGGAAAGTTCAAACAGTAAAGTCCAGCGGGGGTCGCTCTGTCGGTATAGTTCGTTTGCGGACTACAGGCCACGGATTATTTTTTTGTTTGTTTGTTGGAACTGTTTGCAGTGCCCCAAATTGATGCCGACAATGAGAGCTTTCAAGAAGGCGATGCTCCTGCGCAGTATGCCAACATGGTTACGGAATTTCTTGATGAAACATTACCACGGCGCTGGATGGGGAAGCAGTGGCCCCCACGCTCACCGGACCTTACACCCCTGGACTTTTAATTCTCGGGGCATGTGAAGCAAATCGTCTGCAGTGTTCGTATTCACAACATTCAGCACTTGAAACAGCGAATCAGAGAAGCTGTTGCAGCCGTCACGCCTGATTTTCTTGGTCGAGTGTGGCAGAACAAGGAATACCGCTAAGATGTTTGCAGAGCCACCAATGGAGCCCACACAGAACTTCGATAAACACGTGAAAATAATATTTCAATTCTTTAATTTAATTCGTGTTTAGCCTACGTATCATATTCCGTTTAATACATACTGTATAATATTTTGAACCCCCACCTTGACTTGTGTACTCTTAGCTTATAATTACAATGATCTTGCTAAGGAGGATGAGATGGGCAGGGTATGTAGCACGAATGGCGAGAAGAGGAATGCATATAGGATAATGGTGCGAAATCCAGAAGGGAAGAGACCACTGGGAAGACCAAGGCGTAGGTGGGTGAACAATATTAAAATGGATGGTATGGACTGGATTGGTCTGGCTCAAGTTAGGGACCAGTGGAGAGCTCTTGTGAACACGGTAATGAATCTTCGGGTCCCATAAAATGCTGAAAAATTCTTGAGCAGCTGTACAATTGATGGGTCATCAAGAAGGGCTCAGCTCCAAAGAGTCGGTTAGTTTATAATGCTCTAGATTCTTCTATTGGTCTGAAGTGTCTATCTAGTTCTGAACAACCATTAGTATCCTTGAATTCTAGTAAGTATTCTGCCAGTTCAAATCCCGGAATATTTTTCGGCCCTGCGCGTAATTTTCGTATACACTCGCCTTGACAGGATGGCGTTGTCTCACTTTTTGTTTACACACTGTAATAATCGCATGTCGCTCTTCACTTTCGCGTGTCGCATGACGTCATGAGAACCGTTGCTGCAAGTCACAGTCCGGTTTGTTTCTACATATCAGTGCCAGCGACTTTCTGAACGCACCCTACCTACTGCATGATGTTACAGCGTCCGTCCCAGCACTTTGATAACCCTTTCCATGTTGAACAGCGATGATTGAAGACAGTGACTAGACTACGTGCTGGATGACCTTAGAATCGGGGTTCAATATATTTTACTGCATATAAGATTTTAAGCTTTCAAGGACGAATCAATGAGCTGAAGACTTCTCGTTCGATCAGATGCGCCATTGCTGAGTGTATAATTCAATGGTAAGAATGTTCAGCCTCCTGCGCATGCACCTGCGTTTAGAAATTTAGGATTTTTTTTAGGAAATTAAAAAAAATACAAATTGCTTTAAATTTCCTGAAGTCTTCAAATCTTCGAAATTTTTTGACGTATTTAAAATTGTAATAACTGAGAGTTTTGGAAGTAAAATATATTGACATCTGATCCTCAACTGACGTCAAGATGAATGATACACCGTAGCAAAGTCACGGAGACCGAGTTTGGAAAATCTGCAGATGCACTCCAAACTGCAACATCATTTCCTGTTTTGTTTCAGTGATCGTGACTTTCGGACGCGATCTTGGCTCGCGGTGGGCTAAATCGCGTTGTTAATTTTACCGGTTGTGGTCAAGCTACAGACCTTGGGTTGGATAGGACCCGTGAGAAATTTATATCCGGCCAGAAGAGCTATTGAAAAATTTACTTGTAATAACATTTTCATTTACCTCAACACATTTTCAAAATTTCTGAAGCACTAGTAACGTATTTTCATAAAGGAAAGTCAGGAAATTTATTTCAGGCTTTTTTCTGCAGCAATAAATATTTATCACACAGGTTTCATATAACAATTTTCCTGAAATATGGCTCAGAAAAAACATTTGTAACCCTTAATACGACCCTCCAGCTAAAATGTTTTCCCATCCATACCGAACGTTGGTATGAGTGATGAACTGTGAATGTGAAAGAATTTCAGAAGACGCTGTTGTAGCCAGATCAAGTCATGGAGCAACTAAGGACCCCAATAGTTGGTGCCCCAGCCGAGATTGGAACCGAGTACTTCCTGAATACCAGTCCGTAGCATTACCGCTACACGAACCGCGGCTAGACATTGCAGTTAACAAGCATCTTGCTAATTGTGAGGCCAGTACACGGTCTCCAGGGGCGATACAATGTCTCTTCAGCAGAAGGCAGGGCCCCCTGCCGGCGCGTGTTCACGCTCTGATATCAGAAACAAATGAAGACGCTTAAAGAAAGCAGTAACAGCTTCGCAGTAGCAGAGGAGGAGGAGGAACACTGCGCGAAATCCAACAGGGCCAACGATCGACATAGGCTGGCGGAATGTTGGAATGCAGGGGCTGTTGTCCTCTTCTTATTCCCTCACTCATCAGAGTAAAGGTGAGGTTTTCTTTCGCTGAAATAAACGCCACGCCATGAAGACCTGTAAGGGACTGAAGGTACAACTCGCGGCACCGATAGGGT